CCAGAGAGACTGCAACTGGCCGGCCAAGCGGCGTGAGTGTGGTGCGGTCTCGAAAGAAGGAGCGAGAAGCCCCCGAGTCAAGGGTGAAGGTGTGGGAGGCCGAAGCCGACGCAGAACCTGAGAGAGCAGACTCACCAGCACCTGAGAGAGCAGACGCACCTAGAGCAGCAGCCTCGCTAGCACCTAGAGAAGCAGCCTCGCTAGCACCTAGAGCAGCAGCCTCACCAGTACCTAGAGCAGCAGTCTCAATGCCCGGGTCGGGCGGAAAACACCGGTAACAGTCACCCTCATCACTAATAGTCACAGTATACATGGCAGCAAGAATAGCATCAAAGTCAAGGTCAAAGACAGCTACACCCGCCCTAGACAGCTCACCCCAGCGGGGGATCTCAGTGGCCTCAGGGAACTGGTGACGCCAAGCGTCCGTCAGGCGGCCAAAGCAGCGCTGGGTGGAGTGCGCACCCCCGCACTGGTCACCCGCGCGGTCGCCGGTGCGGAGGACGTAGGTGCACGGACCAGTACCCCAACCCCTCTGGCGTGCAGTGTACCACTCACGGAGCTGCTGAGGGGAGGGGATGTCACGAGTGCGCTGCTGCTGCTGCTGCTGCTGCTGCTGCTGCTGCTGCTGCTGCTGCTGCTGCTGGCGCTGACCACCACCGGAGCCGACCCTCTGCGCAGCGCCACCCCGACCAGCTCCACCTCCTCCGCCGCCTCCTCCTCCACCGCCGCCACCTCCGCTCCCACCGCCACCGCCGCCTCCGCCTCCGCCTCCACTGCCGCCACCGACACCTCCACCCCCGCCACCACCCCCACCGCCACCCCCACCCCCTCCACCGCCTCCACCTCCGCCTCCACCGCCCCCGCTAGCTCCTCCAGTGCCCCTGCCCCCCTTGCCTTTGCCAGGGCGACGTCTCCCGCTAGGGGTAGACGCCGCACCGACCGACTCAAGCCCAACGAGGTCGGCTGCAGCAGCAGAGGCAACAGAGGGCAAAAGGGGGGAGGGGGAACACCCCTCAAAGATGGGGGTGCGAGGGTCACCACGAGAGGCTCCTACAGCGACTATGCTCTTCTCTGCTGCTAGGAGGGACTTCTCGAGGAGGTCAACGGTGAGAGTGGTGGGGCAAACTGAGAGGAAGTGGTCCCTGACTACGCGAAGGGAGTCAGGGAGCCGGGTAACTATGTAGTAGAGGGTGATGTACATGGGGGGGGGGGTTCTTGGCGCAGAACTCAGCAGGAAGCGCAGCGCGGTAGCGAGTGTCACTAGTGCGGAGGTGCGTAATGAGGTCAGCGACTGTGGGAAAGGCAGCAAGGTCAGGGAAGAGGTACGGTAGCATGAGGCGGCTCAGTGCAGCAGTGGCAGGGGAGGAGTAGCGCGCAACTACAACGTCGTACAAGGTCTGAGCACTCTTGTACTGGCTAAAGTGCGCACGCTCAGAGGTAGGCAGGTGGCGACGCACAGCAAGACGTGCAGCAGCATCGCGCGTGGCCCACTGTGAGCGAACAGTGGCGTCAGCATCAGCAGCGGGGGCAGGAGAGGCACCAGAAGTGAGGTCAAAGAGGGAGAGGCCGTCTGCCCTGTCGCACTGTAAGAAAAGCTGCAGGTCATCTATCCAGACATCAAAGTCAATGGCCCGACCCTCAGCGTCAAAAGCGAGGACACTAGGGGTAGCCATGACAGTAGTAGACTAGCAGCGCAAACAGTAGGGTGAGGGCAGTGCTGTGAAAGGGGCGCTGCTCTTACCGGACAGGGCGGCTCGGGTGGCTCGGCTGCAGGGCGGCTCGGCGGCTCGGCTGCTGGGCGGCTCGGCGGCTCGGTTGCTGGGCGGCTCGGCGGCTCGGCTGCTGGGCGGCTCGGTGGCTCGGTTGCTGGGCGGCTCGGCTGCTGGGCGGTTCGGCGGCTGGGCGGCTCGGCTGCTGGGCGGCGCGGCGGCTCGGCGGCTCGGCCGTTCGGCTGCGACTGCTGCTGCAGAGACGGCGGCGGCTGCTGCCTCAGGGACGGCAGCGGCCGGCCGCTAGGGGCCGCGTCAGGTGCAGGAGAGGGCCGCGTCAGGGGCGGCGTAGGGGCTGCGGCAGGGGCGGCGAAGGGGCCGCGTCAGGGGCCGCGGCAGGGGCCGCGGCAGGGGCCGCGTCAGGGGCCGCGTCAGGGGCCGCGGCAGGGGCCGCGGCAGGGGCCGCGTCAGGGGCCGCGTCAGGGGCCGCGTCAGGGGCCGCGTCAGGGGCGGCCTAGGGGCCGCGTCAGGGGCCGCGTCAGGGGCGGCCTAGGGGCCGCGTCAGGGGCCGCGTCAGGGGCCTCGTCAGGGGCCGCGGCAGGGGCCGCGTCAGGGGCCGCGTCAGGGGCCTCGTCAGGGGCCGCGGCAGGGGCCGCGTCAGGGGCGGCGTCAGGGGCGGCGTAGGGGCCGCGGTAGTGGCGGCGGAGGGGCCGCGTCAGGGGCCGCGTCAGGGGCCGCCTCAGGGGCAGCGTAGGGGCCGCGTAGGGGCCGCGTCAGGGGCCGCGGCAGGGGCCGCGTCAGGGGCTGCGTAGGGGCCGCGTCAGGGGCCGCGTTGGGGCCGCGTCAGGGGCCGCGTTGGGGCCGCGTCAGGGGCCGCGTAGGGGCCACGTCAGGGGCCGCGTTGGGGCCGCGTCAGAGGCCGCGTAGGGGCCGCGTCAGGGGCGACGTAGGGGCCGGGTAGGGGCCGCGTAGGGGCCGCGTAGGGGTCGCGTAGGGGCCGCTAGGGGGGGGGGCGCTAAAAAAAAAATTAGGGCAGGGGCGCAATGCGCGTCGGGCAGCTAAAAAAAAAATTCGTTATGGTGGGCCCTTAGGAAGGAACGGTCCCATGTAGGAACCCGCTCTATACCATGTGAATTAAGAAAACAGGAATGGGAATGACTAAGGGAAAGTTGGGTACAAATACAAACCCTAGAAAACTGTACCCCATATGTGCTACCCCACTATAGCCTACAGTAGCTCTGTCATATAAATCTGACAACGACGATGTCGCGACATTCAACAAAAATGAAAGTGCGCAACCAATCAAAACATTTTCGCGCCCAATGTGTTTCGGCCAGGTGTCCTCGGCGTGTTCGCCGAATGTTTCCAAACCATCTGTACAGGTATGGCAGGCAGTCATTCGCCCATTCGGAAACCAATCTGCGGCTAGATGCCACTAGGATAGAAAACCAATCGCCAAAACCAGGCAAATGCCTGGAGCCGAAAACCACTCGCCAGCTAGTGGTTTCCCAACCGATTGCGGGACCCCCAAAATTCCCGATGGCGCAACAGTTCCCGTCCGCACGGTGTGACTGTCGACCCATCCGCGTTCCGCTACCGTCATCTGGTCTACTGAAACCCCCCGCGTGGGCTAAGCAGGTGCGCCGCTGCGCGGATGAACCATGCGGGGGACCACCACGGAATCATAGAGAAGAGAGTCTCTAGTGTTGGTGAGAGAGGCTTGAGTGCAGTGTGTTGTGGCTGCAGCCTAAGGTTGCCAGGTAGTCTCCCTGATGAGATATGGCCTCGTGGCTCAATATGTTGGGTTGCACTGCTCCAAAAAGTTGTGATTGTGGCCCTACCCTAACGCAAACTCGACCTCAGGGTCACTAAAACTAGACTCCTCGCTAACCTAACGGCTGTACTTTCTGGTAATTGCTGTCCATTCGAGTCTTAAATCGATACAGAATGACTCATCTCATTACAAAAGACCAGGCCTGCTACATTTTTTTTTTCTAGTATGCGGATAACGTTATGATTAGTGTTTGAGGTACATTTCCAACATATTGGGTTCAAATCAAAATGGCACAACACAAAACTACAGAAAACTACAGCAAATTGTTATGACCAGCATGGGATGGGAAACTCAGCATGTCGTGGTTAGTGCTGACCCTCCAGCCACAACAACCCGTCCAATCCTCTTGGAACATAAGTTGTAAAACCATTACAGATTCTGAGAACAAAATAACATCTTTTCAGAATTCAAAAAAATCGGCTCATGGTTGCCACAGGTTAATCTCCCTGATGACGACACCCTTGTAGCTCTCTGTGGCGCTAGGTAGTTGTCGCTCCTGGGGCCACGAGCAGGATGGGATGCAGCATCCTTCCTTCCCTCCCTCCCGTTTCAGTGATGAAGTTTTATGAAAGAAATTTCCCATAAATCGTGTAATCCTCCTCCTCCTTTCCATTCCGTCTGAATGTTTTTTCCTCTCCCCTTCCCTTCCCTGCCGACCCTACCCCTCTCCTCCCCTCTCCGCACCCCCACCACCCGGGCCATAGAGCAGCAGGCGTGTAGGGAGGGACTGGAGCCGTGTGAGGAGCACGACTGATCTCCTTCCTCCCCTACCTTCCCTACCCTCCCCTTTTCTCCCCGTCCCTCCACCTCCCCTTCACTCCCACCTCCCAGGCCATAGAGCAGCAGTCGTGGAGGGGGGGATTGGAGCCGTGTGGGGAGCACGACTACACCCTCTCCCCCTCCAACCCTGCAAACGTGAGCGGGCGGATACCAGAGGCGTTGCAGGGCACGCTGTACCGCTGTGGGCCGGGGCGGATTCGTGTGGGCGGGACCAAGTTTAGCCACTGGTTCGATGGTGATGGCATGGTGGGTGTGGGCTGTTAGTGTGCGAGAGATGTGTTAAGCATTGCATTGTAAGAGGCGCTGCAGGACTCGCTGTGGGCTAGGGAGGACTCGAGTAGGCGGGATCGAGTTCGGTTACTGGTTTGATGGCGATGGCATGGTGGGTGTTTGGAGTGTGTGCTATGTGGGGATGATATGGGGAGCATGCATGATGGCGATGTGGTGGGGTTGACAAAGTGTAGTGAAATGCGGGCACCGTCGAACCTACCTTTGAGGCGCCTTAATAGTCGTGAAATGCGAGCACCGTTGAACCTCACCCCTTCATTCACTCGTTCAACCACACGTTCGCTCCTCTCCCATCTCCTCTCCCATCTCCTCTTTCCCCTCACACGCACACACCCTCCTTCCCATGCCCTCTTTTCAGCCAACTTCCCATCCTTCGCACTCCTTCCCAGGTCTACGCCTTGCATCTGGACGGTCCAACCGGTACGGCAAGGTTTGTCTGCAAGTGGGTGCGCACAGCAGCCCTGGAGCAACGGGGTGGACCAGAGGTGCAGGCAGGGGAGGGGGACGAACGAGCGAAGGATGGGGAGGGGGAGGTTGTGGAGAGGGGGATACGGGTGAAGGGTGTTTGGACACAAGCCACTGCTGGAGGGCCGCTCAAGAACGTTGGGCCGCCATCTAACCCCGTCAACACCAAGTGAGATGTCAACAGCGGGTGAGATGACGGAAGGATGCGATGTTGATGTTGGCCCAGCTTGCTACCGACTGGGTTAAAGGAGCATATTTGTATCGTGGGTAGCACACTCATTACCTTCCAGGCCGCACCTGTAGCCCTCTCACACTCAACTGAGGTACGATCCAACTACCCCACCAACTATCTTCCCCTCACTTGGGTTGTCTCCCCTTTACGTGGGGCTCGTTAAGGCACTGGAGCTCTTTTGGCACACACTGGGATTTGAACCAAAAACCTTTTTGGCTATGATACCACTATTAGCCCAGCTTGCTACCGACTGGGTTAAAAGACATGTTTGTGTGGTGGGCAGCATGTTAGAATCACTAGCTAGGGAACGAGAAATGATGATTAGGTGAAGATTGGGGTACAAGACTAGAGTGTCGAGACTATTTGTGTACCCCCTAAGGCTAGCCCCAATATAGCCTAGATACAATTATGCATATGTTTTGACACACCCCCATAGGCGAAATGGGGGATAGCCAGAGCAAGTAGTGGTCACAAGACCAGTCAGGAAGGGCAAAGCAAGCTCAGGGTGGATCTCGAGGAAACCACACAAATTCCGAGCACAAGCAAGTGGTCACAAGACCAGTTGACATGCAGTTTAATAATATAGCAAGGGGTACAGTGAGCACAACCTAGCAAGTGTAAGTATGCAGGTATATATATAGAGATCACAGTACAAACAGAGTCAAGAAGTAAGCAAGTGAGGCACAGTAGGCACAAGGCCTAGAACAGTACAGAAGCGCTGATGGTCACAAGGCTGAAGCGCCTTGGTGAACACATCAGCAGTGTTGGCCCGAGTGGCCACGTAACGCAGACGAAGCTGACCACGCTGCTGCAGCTCTCGAGCAAGGAAGTACCGTAGAGCGATATGCTTCGTTCTGTGCTCCAGTCTGTGCTCCTCACACAAGGCAATGGTAGCCTTGTTGTCGACGTACAACACTGGAGGAGAACGAGGCCGCTCTCCCAAGTCGGTCAGCAGGTAGGTGAGCCAGCGTAACTCCTGTGCAGCCATGGCTGTGGCGTAGATCTCAGCCTCACAACTGGAGCTGAGAACGGAAGACGAGCGTGTAGAACGCCAAGAAACAGAACCAGAGCCAAGGCTGAAGGTGTAACCCTGAGACGACCGCTGAGTAGCCTGGTCGTCAGCCCAAGAAGCGTCTGAGTGCCCAGTGAGTACAACTCGGTCTCGTCCTCCAAGCACTAGCCCCATGCCCGACGTACTGCACAAGTAACGCAACACCCTCTTAGCGGCATCCATGTGCTCCTTCCGGTGACGACCAGGAGCGACATAGCGTGCAAGGATGCTAAGAGGGTATGCAAGGTCAGGTCGAGTGCAGGTCATCAGGTACATGAGGCAGCCCACAAGCTCTGGATACGGGCCACTCGGCTCTACGGACTCATCCGAAGGCAGAGCTGAGAGCGAGTGACCGGTAGGCAGAGGAGTGGCCTGAGGCGAGGAGTACGTGAAGCGGAAGCGCTGAAGGACCTGCTGCACCATGTGTGACTGAGTCAAGGTGATGGTGCGCCGTGCTCTGTCCCGGGTGATCCGCAAGCCAAGATAGCTTGTCAGTTCACCCAGGTCTGTGCACGTGTGTCTCTTCTGCAGCTCCGACTTCACGTGGGCGAGTGCCGTAGTGTCAGCAGTGGCAAAGACCAAGTCGTCGACGTACACGAGGATGTAGAACGGCGGCAGTGAAGTGTCGGTGCGTAGAAACAGCGACGGGTCAGCAGTAGAAGGAGCGAACCCAAGAGCCGCAAGTGTAGTTCTCAGTGTGTCGTGCCACTCACGCGGCGCCTGGCGGAGACCGTAGACTGGCCGTCGGAGGCTCCACTGGGTACCAGGAGGGAACGACCCAGTGAAGCCAGGTGGGCGGCGCAGCCAGATCTCCTCGTGCAGGCTGCCCTGCAAGAAAGCTGTGCTGAAGTCAAGAGAGTGCAGCTCGTAGTCACGCTGAGCGGCGACGTGCAGCAAAACCCGAAGAGTGGTCATCTTCGGGGTCGGGGAGAAGGTCTGGAAGAAGTCAACTCCCTCTCGCTGACTGAAGCCTCGTGCAACGTAACGCGCCTTGAAGACAGGCGGAGAACCCGGCGGCCGCTTCACCCTGAAAATCCACATGCCACTGACGATGTTCGCCCCAGGTGGGGGAACCTCGTCGACGTAGGTGCCTGTGGACTTCCAAGAAGCCATCTCTGCGTCCATGGCTGTCTGCCACTGAGAGGAGTACTCACCCGCGATCGCCTCAGCGTAAGAGCGCGGGGTCGGGATGTCTGGAGCATCCGGGTCTCCCTCAGGGGCAACCAGCATGGACACGAGATGAGGTAACGCAGCGGCAAAGCACTCAAACTCCTCCTGCCTGTCCTCAAGGACGTCCGTGCCAAGAGCACACTCACCCCCGACGGACGAAGGACAGACAGACTCAGACTCAGACTCAGCGACAAGGCTAGCGGCGTAGTCTAGACGACAAGCGGCAGCAAAGTCAACTAACTCAGCGACGAGAGCAGACACAGCAGAGGACTCAAAGGAAGGGTCAGTGACAAGTGTGGCGAGGAGACGCGTGACAGTAGGACTGGCAGCACGAAGGGAGTCAGACTCCGGGTCAGCAAGAGCAGGAAGAGAAGACGCAGGAGGAGACGGCAGAGGGACACGCTGAGGAGCAGTGGAAGGACGAAGTGCCATCTGGTGAGTGCCTGGGACAGCAGGAGGACGCTGACGCGGAACACGACGACCAGTGTGAGCAGCACGAACAGGTGACGCACGACGAGACTCTGGCGACGCAGGACGAGACTCAGGCTCACGACGCTCTATAAGACCTCCAGTCGGACCAGTGTAAGGAGAAGGACCAGGGAGTGGCGAGGCAGGCGGTAACTGTGACTGCGACTGGACAGGCGGAGGACACTCTAAGGAGGGAGCAGGACTAGGGGGAGGCGGCTGACCAAGAACCTGCTGAAGGAGCGGAACGAAGTACGGCCGCGGCCGCGCAGCGCCTCCAGAACCAGCAGAGGCACCACCAGTACCCTCAGCTCCAGGGTCTCCAGCTACACCAGCAGCACCAGCTCCCGGGTCCGCAGCACCAGCAGCAGCTCCAACTCCAGGGTCCTCAGCTCCAGCAGCAGCTCCAACTCCAGGGTCGGCAGCACCAGCAGCAGCTCCAACTCCAGGGTCCGCAGCACCAGCAGCAGCTCCAACACCCGGGTCCGCAGCACCAGCAGCAGCTCCAACACCCGGGTCCTCAGCACCAGCAGCAGCTCCAACGCCCGGGTCCTCAGCACCAGCAGCACCTCCAGTAGTAGGAGTACCTCTAGCAGCTCCAGCAGCACCAGCAGTACCACCAGTACCAGCAGTACCTCCAGCAGCGTCAGTAGCACCAGCACCAGCAGCACCTCCAGGAGCACCAGCAACACCGCCAGCAGCAGTAGCACCTCCAACACCAGGGTCCGCGACACTAGGAGCGCCACTCCGGAGACTGCAGCGCCGCGCGTACCACTCTCGGAGCCGCTGGGGAGAGGGCAGCTCCCGCCTAGGAGGGGAAGCACTAGCACCAGCTCCAGCAGCACTCCTAGCTCCAGAGGCACCTCTCCTGAGGCTACAGTACTGTAAGTACCACTCACGCAGCTGCTGTGAGGAGAGAGCTCCTCCAGGTGTAGTACTCCCAGGCTCAGCACCTCCAGACTCAGCACCCCCAGACTCAGCACCCCCAGACGCAGCACCCCCAGACTCCGCAACCCCAGGCTCCGCACCCCCAGGCTCCGCACCCCCAGGCTCCGCACGCTCAGGCTCAGCACCCCTAGCAGGACGAGAGTCGACAGCTACCTTGACAGGCTCAACCGGGTCTACCTGGGACACACCTGAGGGAGCGGCACCCTGAGGGGGGAGGGGGTCTACCATAGCAGCACCTGGGGCGAGGAAGAGAGGCGGGGGGGGGAGCGGGGCAGTGCGGTAGGGGAAGAGGCGGTAGTAGGGCACGGACTCGTCAAAAGTGACGTCCTGAGAGGGCAGGACACGGCGCGAGGTGGCGTGGTAAAACTGCCAAGCAGACGCGTCCGGGACAAAGCCAAGGAAGACACAAGGAACAGCGCGGGAGGAGAGCTTGTCCGCGGACGTATCGCGAACAAAAGCTCGAGATCCCCAGACCCGAAAACGCGACGCATCGCCAACCTCTCCCGTCCAACGCAGTGTCGGGGAAGTCTCCGGCAAGGAGACACGGGGCCAGAGGTTGAGCTGATGCGCAGCGTATCGGACCGCAAACGGCCACAGAAAGTGGGGGGCAGCCGCATGGATCAAGGAGGTACGAGCGACCTCCATGACCAAACCAATGCGGCGCTCAGCAACCCCATTCTGCTGTGGAGAGGCCGGAAGCGTGAACGACTGGCGGATGCCGTGCTCCGCACAGTAGGCTGCCAAGAGGTCGGAGGAGAACTCACCACCTCTGTCAGAGTGCAAGCGCAGGACAGGAAAGTCCGAGTGGAAACGCTCGCTGAGCTGGAGACGAGAAGCGCGGATCCAAGGGATCAAAACATCAGGGACCTCACCCTTGGTGCGCAAGGGGAAGACCGTGGTGTAGCGCGAGTAGTCGTCAACAACTATCAGGAAGTACCTTTCCTGACCCTGACCACGGACGCGGGCTGGGCCCCACACGTCCATGTGGAGCGTCTGCAAGGGAGCAGTCGTCGGGGGAAACGAGGAGGAGTGAGGAGCGGCGCGCTGCCGCCCCTCGACACACGGAAGACAGGGAGGAGCAGGCGAGGGTGGGAGGGGAGGGAGAACCCTGGGAAGACCAGAGACAAGGTACCGGTTGTGCATGGCACGAAGGCGCTGCACAGACGGGTGACCAAGTCGGTGGTGCCAGAGGACGGTCTCGTGCGCCAGAGAGCGACACGAGCAGGGGGCCGACAGCTGACCTGACGCAGACGCAGACGCAGCTACCTGAGGGGACTCAGTGGTCAGTGTGTACAGGTCCGACCCCGGCTGCCGAGTGAAGGTAGCCAGGTGACGGCCCGTCCGAGCACACGTGCAGTGTGTCACGCGCTCGTAGGCAGGGGTGAACTGGTGAACACCCCCGTCCTGGAGCGCACAACCCGCCACCAAGTTCGTAGAGAACGAGGGGAGGTGGAGACCTGACAGTGTGCCCGACGGGACCGCAGGACAAGGAAGGACAGTGGAGGAGGTCGCAATGACCGGACCCCCAGAGGGGTCAGCGAGGGAGACAGCAACTGGCCGAGCAAGCGGCTCAAGGGCAGTGCGGTCACGAAAGAAACAGCGAGAAGCACCTGAGTCCAGTGTGAAGGTGTGTAGTGCCTCAGTCGACTCAGTACCAGGGGGCGCAGACTCACTAGCACCTAGAGCAGCAGCCTCACCAGCACCTAGAGCGGTAGCCTCACTGGTCCGAATGCCCGGGTCGGGCGGAACACGCAGGTACTGAGCACCCTCTCCACTAGTAGACATCACATACATGGCAGTGAGAATAGCATCAAAGTCTAGAGCATAGATATCAATGTTCTTTTTCATCAGATCAGCCCAGCGGGGCAGCTCAGTGGCATCAGGGAACTGAGTACGCCAAGCGTCGTCGAGGCGAGAGAAGCAGCGCTGCGTGGTGTGCGCCCTCCCACACGTCTGACCAGTGCGGTCACCAGTGCGGATGACGTACGTGCAGCTAAGGCCACCCCCCCCCCCCCCGTGCTGAGAGTACCACTCACGGAGCTCCTGGGGCGACGGAGTGCGCTGCTGGCTCTGGCCACTGCCAGCGCCTCCACGACCACCACCGCCGCCGCCACCTCCTCGACCACCCCCTCCCCTGCCGCCGCCACGACCACCGCCGCCCCCACCACCGCCCCCGCCCCTGCCACCTCCCCCGCCGCTGCCGCCACCACCCCCACCGCTGCCACTAGTCCCTCCAGCCCCACCACCACCCCCACCGCCTCCACCGCCCCCACCACCGCCTCCCCCGCCGTCACCTCCACCTCCCTTGCCCCCTTTGCCCTTGCCGCTGCGGCGCCAGCTCGAAGTGGACGCAGTCCCGACCTTCTCAGCACCAAGGAGGTCGGCAGCAGAAGCAGAGGCTACAGAGGGAAGAAGGGGGGAAGGGGAACACCCCTCAAAGAAAGGGGTGCGGGGGTCGCCACGAGAGGCACCTACAGCGACTATGCTAGCCTCAGCTGCAAGTAGTTCCTTCTCGAGGAGGGCAATGGTGAGCTCAGTGGGCCAGCGAGATAGGAAGTGATCCCTGACTGCACGCAGAGTGTCAGGGAGGCGGGTGACTAGGTGGTAGAGAGTGAGCCAGAGCGGGGGGGGGTTCGTGGCAAGAAACTCATCGGGCATAGCGGCACGGAAGCGGGCCTCACTAGTACGGAGGTGCGTGATGAGGTCAGCGACTGTGTGGAAAGAGGCCAGGTCGGGGAACAGGTAGGGGAGTGAGAGACGGCCTAGCGCGGCAGAGGCAGGTGAGGAGTAGCGGGCAACGACAGCGGTGTACAGTGCCTGTGCAGACTTGTGCTGGCCAAAGTGCTCGCGCTCATCTATCGGCAGGGAGTTGCGAATAGCAAAGCGAGCGTGGGCGTCACAAGTCTGCCACTGTGAGCAGGTAGTGCTGTCGACAGTAGCAGCAGGGGCAGTGGCATGGCCTAAGGCGTGATCGTACAGTGAGATGTCTTCCTTGGCAGTGAGTTGTAGGAATAGGTGCAGGTCATCGAGCCAGGTGTCAAACTTCACTGGGCGGCCCTCAGCATCGAAAGCTAGCACAGGATGGCTAGCCATAGTGACAGCAGGAGCAGTAGCAGTAGTAGTAGCAGAAACAGCAGTAGTGACAGTAGCAGTGACAGAATCAGGGGCGCGGCTCGGTAGGGCGGCGCGGCTCGGGCCGGGTGACGCGGTTCGGTGGGGCGGCTCGGCTCGGCTAGGCAGCGGCTACTCGAGGTGGGGCACGTGAGGGCGTGCAGGGCAGAGTGGGGCGGTCCGCACGGGGCACGAGGTGGCGAGCTAGCTAGGGCGGGGCCTGGTCGCACGGGGCCAGCAAGGGCGGGCTAGTGGGGCGGGGCCGGTACGCTAGGGGCACGCGAGGGCGTGCAAAGCGGCTGCTCTGGGTCCAGGGGCGGCTGCACCAGGGGCGGCTGCTTCAGGGGCCAGGGGCGGCTGCTCTGGTTCCAGGGGCGGCTGCTCGAGGGTCCAGGGGCGGCTGCACCAGGGGCGGCTGCTTCAGGGGCTGTAGCAGCAGTAGCTTCAGTCAGGAGCAGCTGCAGTAAGCGCTGGAGTAGGAGCTGCAGCAGTAGCACTAGCTTTAGCAAGTGTAGTAGTAGGAGCTGCAGCAGTAGCACTAGCTATAGCAAGTGTAGTAGTAGGAGCTGCAGCAGTAGCACTAGCTGTAGCAAGTGTAGTAGTAGGAGCTGCAGCAGTAGCACTAGCTGTAGCAAGTGTAGTAGTAGGAGCTGCAGCAGTAGCACTAGCTGTAGCTGGAGTAGTTTCAGACAATAGTAGCTGTAGCAAGTGCCGTAGTAGCAGTGGCAGCAGTAGCACTAGTTGTAGCAGCACTAGCTTCAGTAGCAGCAGCAGTGAGTAACAGTAACACGGGCCGCGTGCGGGCCAGTCGCGGGCTGTAAGGGCTGCGTGCGGGCCTGGCGCGGGCTTTACGCGCTGGGTGCGAGCCTGACGTGAGCTGTACGGGCTGCGCGACGGCCTGGCGCGGGCTGTACGGGCTGCGCGACGGCCTGGCGCGGGCTGTACGGGCTTCGCGACGGGTCTACGCGGGCTGTACAGGCTTCGCGACGGGCCTACGCGGGCTGTACGGGCTTCGCGACGGGCCTACGTGGGCTGTACGGGCTTCGCGACGGGCCTACGCGTTCAGGGGGGGGTCGCACGTGACTAGGAGGGAAAAAAATCGCGTCTAGGGAACCGTCTCGCCTAGAGCACGGTTTCGAATTTCGCATTTCTCCTAGGGGCGCGACTCGGGCAGTAGATCGAAATAGTAGTGGTGGGCCCTTTTTAAAAAATCGGTCCTAAGGAGCATTGTGCTCTTAATACCATGTTAGAATCACTAGCTAGGGAACGAGAAATGATGATTAGGTGAAGATTGGGGTACAAGACTAGAGTGTCGAGACTATTTGTGTACCCCCTAAGGCTAGCCCCAATATAGCCTAGATACAATTATGCATATGTTTTGACACAGCACACCCATTACCCCCTAGGCAGCACCTGTAGAACGATCACAGTGCCCCATCAACAATTGAGATTATGATATGTTTGTCCTACACTTTTTCCTCCCTCTTATAGCCCTCGTTTTTTAGTAAACGAGAACAAACCCCTCACCCGCGCCTTCCTTCCCCATCCCCACCAGCATCATCCACTTCCCCAGCAATTGCCAGCCCTGGACGATAGCCGCCCATCCTTCCTCCTCTTCTCCGCCCCTCTCCCTGCTCAACCCCCACCCTCCCTCTTCCTTTTCTCACTTTCCATCCTCCCCTCCTCCACCCCCTTCACCAGCATCATCCACTTCGCAGATATGATGCTGGCGATGTGCGAGGGATGCCTACCCGCCCTTCCTCCCAGGCCCAATCTCGCTGCGCACTGCACTCTCACCCCCGTTTTCCCTCACCTTTTTTTTTAACCCCGCATGCCCTCCACCAGCATCATCCACTTCGCAGGAAAGCTGCTAGCTCTGTATGAGGGAGGCCTGCCCTTCCTCCTGGACCCTCTCTCCCTGCACACGCTCGGCAACTTCTCCTTCCCCGTCCTGCCACTGCCCTTCTTCTCCGCCCACCCCAAGCTCGACCCCGCCACTGGAGGTGAGAGGCTTGAGAGCATGTAGGCAGGCGAGCAGTCAGGCAAGCAGGCAGGCAAGCAGGCAGGCAAGCAGGCAGACAAGCAAGCAGGCAAGCAGGCAGGCAAGCAGGCAGGCAAGCAGGCAGGCAAGCAAGCAGGCAAGCAGGCAGGCAAGCAAGCAGGCAAGCAAGCAGGCAAGCAGAAAGCAAGCAGGCAAGCAGGCAAGCGAGCAAGCAAGCAAGCAAGCAAGCAAGCAAGCAAGCAAGCAAGCAAGCAAGCAAGCAAGCAGGCAAGCAAGCAAGCAAGCAGGCAAGCAAGCAAGCAAGCAAGCAAGCAAGCAAGCAGGCAAGCAAGCAAGCAGGCAAGCAGGCAGGCAAGCAAGCAAGCAAGCAGGTAGTGTGCAAGCCGGTGAGAGCAGTTGTGACACAGATAGCCGACAAGTGCTAGGCCACTCTTCTTCCCAGCCTGCCCCTCTTCTCTACTCAACCCCACATACACCTTTCCCTTATCAAACCACCCCTGCCCCCGCCACACCCCTCTCGCACTCTCCTCGGCCCCACCGGCCCCTCTCCCCACCAGAGCTGTACAACTTTGGCTGTCTGCTGTTCGGCATGCAGCCATTCGCACTCACAGCGGACGGGCAGCACACACGCATGGGCGCCCTCCAGGGCTGGCCTGAGGTCACTCTCGTGCACGACTGTGCCATGTCGTCTCGCTTCCTCATCTTCACCTTCCCCCCCTACGCGGCCTCTGCTGGGGATCTTGTTCTGGTGCGCTCTTCTTGCCCTCCCGTCTCCTCCCGTCTCCTCCCTTCTCCTCACTTGCTCTCCGTGGCTGTCGTGAGCGACTGTGCCATGTTGCCACTCTTCCCCACCTTCACCTTTCCCCAGTACGCCGCCTCTTTTGGGGATGTCTCTCTTGTCTTCCCTTGTCATCCAAGCACCCCCTTCCCTTCTCTTACCCTCTGCTGCATCCATTCTCGTTCGTCCTCTTACACACCCCCCTTTAATTGGTCCCTTACATGCTGGCGATGTTTGAGGCGCCTAAAAAATCCGATACATGCTGGCAATGTGCCCCTGCCTGTAACCGTACCTGCCATGCACTGTGCAAGCTGTCCAGTTCAGAAAAGAGAATGAGCAACCTCCTTGCTCCATACTACGAGCGTCCTCCTTGCTCCATACTACGAGCGTCCTCCTTGCTGCATACTACGAGCATCCTCCTTGCTCCATACTACGAGCGTCCTCCTTGCTCCGTACTATTACATGCAGATGCTAGCAGGGCAGTGCTGCTCTGGCAAATTTTCAACTTACAATGAGTCTCAGCATACCCCACCGCACCCACCTCACTGCACCTTACCGCACCTCACTGCACCCCAGTGCACAAGCAACCCACCCCTCTCGTTTTCCACCACTACCTCCATGCACTCTCCTTGCTCCTTACAATCACCTGCAGATGCTAGCAGGGCAGCAGCCGTTAGGCAGCTGGTTCACATACGACGAGTTTCACTGGGCTTTGACACACCAACAGCCCACCATACTAATTTTTCTTACTTATTTCTTGCCTCCTCCCCTACCGCATGCAGATGCTAACAGGGCAGCAGTCGTTAGGCAACAGGTTCTCGTACGACGAGTCAAAGCCCACAAGGGTGGTGGTGGTGGGCAAGGAGAGCCTGTCAGTGGAGGTGCAGCTGGATGTATGGCCACCCTTCTCCAACTACCACTTCTGTAACGCCTATGAGGAGGGCGATCGATTGCATGTGCTGCTGACAGTGCTGGTGAGTCATCACTTGCTGAAATCTCCCACTTCATTTCGCCTTGCTACACCTCATAGCACCTCACTGCACCGCAGTCCCCCTTCTCCAACTACCACTTGTGCAAATTTCGGGGAGGCCGACCGGGTCCATGTGCTCTTGACAGAGCTGGCCAGTCATTTCGCCATGGGTTTTTTCCAACTCACTGCACCACACTGCACCACACTGCACCTCGCTGCACCTCACTGCACCTCACTGCATTTCACTGCACGCTGATGCATTTCATTGCAGGTGAAGGAGGTGCAGGTGAGTGGGAGGGCCCGGAGGTCCCATGCACGAGCGGGTGTGAGATATTATTTTCCATAGAGAGGCACTGAGATCCCTGGTTCTCACGCTGCTGTGAGAGGCAACACCATGAGAGGCAATGCCATAAGAGGCAATGCCATGAGAGTCAATGCAATGCCATGAGAGTCAATGCAATGCCATGAGAGTCAATGCAATGCCATGAGAGTCAATGCAATGCCATGAGAGTCAATGCAATGCCATGAGAGTCAATGCAATGCCATGAGAGTCAATGCAATGCCATGAGAGTCAATCCAATGCCATGAGAGTCAATGCAATGCCATGAGAGTCAATCCAATGCCATGAGAGTCAATGCAATGCCATGAGAGTCAATCCAATGCCATGAGAGTCAATCCAATGCCATGAGAGTCAATGCCACAATTCTTCCGCCCCTCCTTGCTACCACCTCCCACCGGGATGACCCTTGGGATGCGTTGGAGGGAGTATTTGACATATACGGGGTGACATGGCAATGCAGCCACCAATCCTCCGTGTAGAATCCACGCCTCTGTGTTTTGTCTCCCTCAGCCATGTTACCTCTCTCCCACTGCCCATCTCTTATTGCTCGTCCCCCACCAGGATGGTCCACGGAATGCGTTGGAGGGAGTATTCGACATGTACGGGGTGACATGGCAGCGCAGCCATCAGTCGTCCGTGTGGAGGCTCGTCTTTGACACCACCACATGGGACCTCCTCTCCCGCCACCGAGCCATGCCTTCCAGGCCTGGCACGGGAGGCCCGGTGGTAGGCATGGAGTTTGCCGTGGTGAACCCTGCATATGTAAGCAGGAAGAGCAGGTATCTGTACGTGCTAGGGTCCATGCCTGAGAGGGAGAGGGAGGAGTGGTGGAGAAATTGCGGGTTGAGGGGTGCCATGTGGTATGGAGGCCAGGAGGTGCAGGCAGAGGAGGTTGTGGATGGGGAGGAGGGAGAGGGAGAGGAGGGAGACGAGAGGGAGGAGAGAGAGAGTGAGGGGGGTGAGGGCGGGAAGGGGATGGCTGAGTATGGGTACTTGAACTGTATTCAGAAGTATGATCTGCAGACAAGGCAAGTGACCACTCACGTCACGCCACCTGGCTGCTATGTCAACGAGTGCAGCTTCATTCCGAACAGTGGCACTGATAACGAGGACGCCAGTAAGGAGGACGAGGGGTATCTGGCGGCGTTTGTGTATGATGCAGCGCGGCACAGGTCCCATGTGGTGGTGGTTGATGCGAGGGATGTGGCTGCTCCCCCGGTGGCCGTGGTTCATCTGCAGTCACATGTGCCGTATCACTTTCACGGCACGTGGGCGGCCAAGGCCGCCGTGCATTAGGGAGGTCTTTGAGGCACTACTGATCACGGCTCCTCCTGTAGTGGCACAGGCACAGATCCCATGTGGTGGTGCTGGATGAAAGGGATGTGGCCGCTCCCCCAGTGTCTGTGGTGCATTTACAGTCACATGTGCCCTACCATTTCCACGGCCCCTAGGTGGTGCCAAGGCTACCATGCTATGATGCATCACGGCACAGGTCGCATGTGGTGGTGCTAGATGCGAGGGACGTGGCAACACCCCAAGTGTCAGTGGTACATCAGCAATCTCATGTGCCCGGCCATGTCCACGGCACCTGGGCGGACAAGGCTGCTGTTCATCAAGAAGGCTTTTGAGATGTCTGGAAGGGCACCAAAATTAGGCTTTCCAAGTGGCTACACATAATGCCTGCTTGAGCCACTCCCGGTTGCCTTGTGAAGGGGGCTTATAAGCTGTAACGTGCATTTCGCAAAAGTTTCGTCAATTCGCAGCTAGCTAAAAAGGATTCGCAGGTGCTTGTATAAAGGATCTGTAACCTTATCCGTTGACATTTTGACTTCAGTCTCTTCAGTTTGACTTCGGTCTGTTCGTTACTACCTATTGGTTCATAACCACGTGACGCGCTTGTAACGTGGGTGCAACAGGCTGGGTGCAGCGTTTCCATCCGGTGCAGAGCAAATTAGCGTGCATGGGGTGGGCATCACCTGCACGGGGGTGTTTGGTCACAGATCTAGCTGGTCGACATCGTACTGTATCTAGCTGCTCTACATCATGCCGTATCTAGCTGGCCGACATCATATTTAGCTGGTCGACATCATACCGTATCTTTGGGTATTTAAGTTGCATGTGGGCAAAAAACAAGAATTCTGGAAAGGCGCAGCAGAGCAAGTCCATCTAACTAGCCACTGAACCTAAACAGCATGCGTAACCAGGGTAAACCAGCCCATGTTTAGGCAAGTAATTCCCACAACATAGCAACTAGATACTCAGTTGCAACACAACACGCCGATGCGTGCCATATAACAAAATCTAGAAGGGAGAAATGAAGCTGGCAGAGCACCAGAGGACCAGAAGGGAGTGGGGGAAAGATTGGATTTAGTTGACAGAACACTGCTGATATGATCTTTTCATGCCAGCAAGTACTGGTGGTAAGGTCATCAGACCAACAAACCGTATCTCCAGTACCCCAGGCACGTGGGATATCCGTATATCCGTGATACAAACACTCCGTCCCCCTACATGCCACTCCACTTCGCATAATGCCCCCCCCTCCCCCAAAATGGATGCCAGACAATGTTGCCAGCGGGCGGCTGGCAGGTGCCCGCTGCAGCAGGGCCGGGTGAGGGCTGCTCATTCGATGTTGGCCTTTTTCCGCAGGTGGTTCTTAAAGCCCACGATGTCGCCCTCCCACCGCGTCAGCGTGCGGTTCTCACACACCCAGATCTCCTTTGCCACCTGCCACAGCACAGCACCGCACACACAGCACAGCACAGCACCGCACCGCACCGCATACACATAACAGGGCAGTCAGTACCCGACGAAGAGTCGTTCATATGCATGCATCTAATCAAGATCACCAGCATCCTCTCAACATACTCGCCTGACTGGAAAACCTACGGTACGCCCTCTTCCATCATCCCCACGCCCCCTCACCTGGTTCATGAGTCTCAAGTCGTGGGACACGAGCACCATGCCGCCGTCCCACTCATTCAGCGCCTCAGCCAGCGAATCAATCGTCTCAATGTCCAGATGGTTGGTGGGCTCGTCCAGCAGCAACATCAACCTCTTCACTCTTCACCTCATCAAATCAAACCCCAAGCACCCGGCCTGCACTTCCTTCCCTTACCTGCTTCAACAACCCTGCTCTTCTGCAGCCAACCTTGCCACCCGATTAACAAACCCAAGCCTTCTTTCTCTCACCATCCCCACGCCCCCTCACCTGGTTGATGAGTCTGAAGTCGTGGGACACGAGCACCATGCCGCCATCCCACTCATTCAGCGCCTCAGCCAGCGAGTCAATCGTCTCGATATCCAGATGGTTGGTCGGCTCATCCAGCAGCAGCATCTGCGGCTGCCGCCACGCCAGCCAAGCAAACAGGATCCGCGACCGCTGCCCGTCCGAAAGATTCTTCATCGGCATGACCTGGCACTTCCCGGTCAGCCCGAATCTTCCGATGGCTGACCGCATTTTTTCCTCCTCCAATCCGGGGTATTCGGACATCATCCATGCGAGTGCGCTCTTCTCCAGGTCTAGTTTCTCGCCCAGGTGCTGTGAGGAGCAGGCAGCAGGGGAAGGACAAGATTAGCACAAGACAAGATTAGCACAAGACAAGATTAGCACAAGACAAGATTAGCACAAGACATACTCTAGTGACCCTTGCAAGTGACGCTATAAGTGCAGGGGCAGCAGGCGGAGCTGAACGGAGAAGGGCCACAAAGCGGGGGTGGTTATGAACATGCTGAACTACATGGCGGGAGTGTGTGCATGTAAGGATGTGTGCATGTGAGGATGTTTGCGAGTGTGCGGATGTGTGTGGGTGCGTGTGAAAGTGTGAGTGTGTGGGTGTGTGTGAGTGTGAATGTGAGTGTGTGGGTGTGTGTGAGTATGATTATGTGTGTGTGGAAGGGTGTGGGTTCGTGCGGAAACGCGGGGGTGTGAGTGGATGTCTGTGGGACTGTGTGGGTGTGAAGTGGGCATGGTGCTTCACCAGTGCTGGTACTACCGTGTTAAGATTTCATCACCCAATCCCACACTGTGTTCCAGTGATGTTGCATGGGTGGCGTGGGAAGACGTGAACTGTGTTTTGCATCACTCTCTCACGCTCACACCCATCCACACCCATCCGCACCCACCCACCCACCTGGTGGTACTGTCCAATCCGCAGGTGGTTATGCCGCTTCACCGCGCCCTCCGTGCACTGCAGCTCGCCCGTCATCAGCTTCAGCAGCGTCGACTTGCCCGCCCCGTTCGGCCCCACGAGGGCAATCCGCGAGTCCAGATCCACACCAAAGTCCACCTTCTCGTAAATCACATGCTCCGGATCGTACGAAAACGAGACTTCCGAAAACTGCAGCACGGGCGGAGGAAGCTTCCCGACATCCGTAAACCTAAACGTGAGCACGTTATCCCGCGCCACCTTCTCCGTCAGCCCGCCGCGCTCCATCTTTGCCAGAGTCTTCTCCTTGCTCTGCGCCTGCCGAGCCAGCTTCGCCGAGCCGTGGCCGAACCTAGCGATATACTCCTTCATGTTGGAGATCTGCTCCTGCTCCCACTTCCACTGCTTCATCTGATTCTCCTCCTGCTCCTTGCGCGTCTGCACGTACGAGTCGTAGTTCCCGGAGTAGAATTTCAGCTTCTTGTTCTGCATGTGGATGATGTTGGTGCACACGCCGTTGAGAAAGTCCTGCGAGTGCGACACCACCACCAGAATGCGGTCGAACTTCTTCAATGTATCTTCCAGCCACACGCACGCCTCCAGATCTGCCAGTGGGCAATGGGAAAGGAGGGGGGAGCGAAGTGGGATGGGTCGGATGAGCGATGCATGAACGAAGCAGGCTTTAGTTCCCATAAGTCATTAGTTAGAAAAAAAAAGAGGGACGAAGCGAGCCGTAGAGGGGTTGGGGGGGAGGGTTTGGGGGGGAAAGAAATGGAACTCACGTGCGGTCTCTCTCACGTGATGAGGTGTGTAGTTGAGGATTTGAGAGACTAAAACGGCAGCTACCAGTACACTTTCCGGGCGTAGCTCGGTACATTCTCCGCACCTCGTATCTATACTGGTGGCCCGTTCTCCGTCTCGCAATGGTTGACGTGCTGTCCACACTCAAATGGTTCGTCAGTGCTGTATCGAACAATTGCCACGGCCTCCGTCCATGGTTTCCAACACCTAAATGATTCGTCAGCCTGCCGGACGTAGCTTTCTAGTTCGTCAGCCTGCCGTACGTAGCTATCCGGTTCGTCAGCCTGCCGTACGTACATATCCGGTTCGTCAGCCCTTGCCGTACGTACATATCCGGTTCGTCAGCCCTTGCCGTGCGTACCTAGATGGTTGGTGGGTTCATCCAGCAGCAGCACGGTGGGCTGCATGAACAGCGCGCGCGCGAGCTCTGACATGTCGCAAAACTCGAGTCTGAAAAACCTCAAAAGCTCGCACCTAGATGGTTGGTGGGTTCGTCGAGCAGCAGCACGGTGGGCTGCATGAACAGCGCGCGCGCGAGCGCGATGCGCATGCGCCAGCCACCGGAAAAGTCGCGCGTCCTCTTCTGCTGCATCTGCTTGGTGAAGCCCAGCCCGTGCAGGATCTGCGCCGCGCGCACCTCCGCCGTCGCCGAGTCCATGGCGTCCAGCCGCTCGTAGATGCGCTCCAGCTGATCCGCCGCGCCCTCCTGCAAATGGGGAACGGGACGAGGGTAGGAAGAATGAGAAGGTGGGTTTGAGACGTGCGGATTCTTGGATTCTCCACACTCAAGCCGAGTCCATGGTGTCCAGCGGCTTGTAGATGCGCTCCAGCTGATCCGCTGCGTCCTCCTGGAAGAGGGGAAGAAGCGAGGAAAAGGGAGAAGGGAGAAAGGTTGGGGTGGGCTTAGAAACTTGAACATCCTCGAGAAACAAGCCGAGGCCATTCTCGAGAAAGGTGAGTCAGGAACGTGAAGAGAGGAGGTGATTCCGCCCACAAGCACACCTTCCAGCGCAATCATGACGACAGAGCCTGTTTGCGCGTACTTACACTCCAGCTGGATGCAAGAAACCCCTTTGATTCGAGCAGAAACTTGCGCATGTACAGATTAACGAGACCCCGCCCGCCTCTTTCTCATGCTCTAACCGTTCCGCGACGACGTCCGCCTGCAGCGGGTTAAACCATAACCAAACCCACCACCCACTTCCCCTTCACATCCACTTACAACTTCCGCGAGCTCCTCCGCCTCCTTCTCGAGCTTAGGGCGCTCCTCGTCGACGCAGAGGACGGCCTCGCGGGTTACCAGGTTACCGAGTCAACAAGCTCACCCATCTAACCTATTTACCCACTTACAACTTCTGCGAGCTCCTCCGCCTCCTTCTCGAGCTTGAGGCGCTCGGCGTCGACGCAGATGACGGCCTGCAGCGCGGACATGTCGGTGGCCTCGATCTCGTGGGACAGGAAGTAGATGTCCATGTGGTCCTGCACCGGCACCTCGCGGTTCCCGATCGCCTTCAGAAGCGTCGACTTGCCGCACCCGTTCAGCCCCAGCAGACCGTACCGCCTGCGCGCCGAGGAGGAACAGCCGGAACAGCCGTGCAAGGTGAGGCAAGGGATTTAGCCATGGAAAAGAAGGGGGTAGTTGACTAAAAGTGACTGTTTGGTGAACTACGAAGGGGATGTGTCGAATTTGGCGGGTGATGGGGATATGGATGAACGAGGGCGAGACAGTGATGATAAATTTGGCAGGCGGCTTACCTTCCATAATTGAGCTCAAGAGTAGTGTCTGCGACAAGCTCGTGCCCGTGGAAGTTGAGCGAGAATCCAACGACCTGTACAGGCAGGTTACGGGGGTGAGACAATGACGAGTACGTGCGTACGCACGCTTAACGGTAAAAGACGAAGAAACAAACAAACTAACTAACCAAGGAAAGGAGGTGACTGGTTCCCACTCACGTGTATATCTCGTGAGAGGGCGTGCGAGGCGAGAACTCCGGTGCAACTTCTGTCGTGATCGTCGAGGGACTTGAGATCATTCTGCGAGTTGCTCGCACTGACGGAAGGTGATTTGCCCTTTGCGGCTTTCTTCGCGGCCGCAGCAGCTTTCTTCGCCGCAGCTCTTTCCTTCTTGGCGTCAGACGGAGCCATGCTGAGTTCTCTCCCTTGAAACACACGAAGCGAACTTGCTTATAGACAAGAGTAACGATGCAGCTCTCAGATGATTACACGAAATCTAAGGCAGGGATTCTGTTGCACTGGCCGAAGCGACTCCAACTCACAGAAGGTATGGATCAGAGATCGGTGATCAGGAGATCGGAGAAAGGGAAAGAAAAGGTAGTCTGGTGAGGTTGTATATACACATCCGCTGAGAAAAAATCGCCTGCGCATGGCGGTGGTTGGGTTGAGTAACGCAGCGGGTCAAACAAACTCGCTGGAGCTGGTCAAGCGGTGCATTGGGAGTTGTTTTCACCAAATCCGTGTGATGGATCCACCAATAGCGTGCATCCTGGAGGTTGACTTGTGGTGGTTTCGGGACTGCCGAGTGGGTTCGGGCAGCTGGCTGCCCCGCAGAAGCTCGGGGTCTGCTGCAACGCGCCGCCAAAACATTCTTGTTGCGGAGAGTCTCTTCCTGGAATGTGGGTTGCAAAGGGCCTGAAACGAATCCACGTGGAAGGCCCGGATACCCTTTTTGGCGGGGGCTGTCGCATGCCGCTGACATGGCAAAAGATGCTCGCAATATATGACACATAAAACGGTAAAACGGAATTCGACTTCGACCGCCGTAGTGCCACCTCCATCAAATTCCTCAATAGCGAGTATATAATGGTGGCTTACCACTCCCGTAATATGGATTTCTTTAGGCAGTGTAGCTACTGAATAATAATCAACATTTGCGACAATACTGTTTGCCCTCCCCTTCCTCCCGTTCCCCCTCTTCCTTCCCTCTTTGTCCCAGACCTGCCATCTCTCCCTCCCTCTTTTCGCTCGCCTTCTTTCCCGCGACCAACTAGCCCTAATCTCGCGTGCCTTAGTATCCTAATCCGCAGCCATGGCCAGCGAGCTCGCCTGCACATACGCTGCTCTTATCCTCCACGATGATGGCATTCCCATCACGGTGAGCACTTCTGATTTTTGCCGCACGAATACTTTCGTGTCGATGCTGCCCTTCTCACCAGGTTCCCCGCATGCGACGTTTTGGAACGATCTCCAAGTAGAGTTTGTTCACGCGTGCTTTCTCGTAGGTCACAGGCAAGGAACGCAACTGTGTAGAAAAGCGAAGTTGATCAGGAGGGTGTCATGTTGTGTTTGCAGCTTGAGGAATTGCCAATGTTGTCAACTTTGCTACTTCTGACGGTTGCTTAGTTCGGCGATGCGTACAATCAGTCACTACGAGTATTGTAGAGTTCCTCGCGCATCAACGATCGTGGACGAACGCTGCAGTAATCGGCGGGACCGGTCTGTCTCATTAGGTTAACCCTAATGATAGTCGTTAGGGTCTTCAGCATGTGCTGGATTCTTAGATCTTCGGTCTGACGGAACGATGTGTGCTCACTAAGTCAAGCGCGAGTCTGGTAGTAGTCAGGGCTCGAGAGATTGGACCGAGGGGTTTGGTCCTTTCATGGGGGGATTTATGTTTGACTAGCCCTCTGTTCATGTCGTTAGTGAAATGGCGATCCCGTTTTTTCGTTCCCACATGGCAGTCCGACAAGATCGCGACGCTGGTGAAGGCCGCGAACGTGAACGTGGAGGCATACTGGCCCACTCTCTTCGCCAAGCTGCTCGAGAAGCGCAGCGTGGAGGACCTCGTCTCAAACATTGGATCAGGTACGGTGCAGTCTGGTTAGTTGCGGTACGGGGTAGTCTGGTTACGTGCGGTGCGATCGTGTCGGGCGGTGAGTAGCTTGCAATTTGGGTAGACCGTGGGATGGTGCGTCAGGTATCTGTAGTTGCTGACGGCGGTGAATCTGCAGTCGTATGGCTCACAATCAATTGCACTTTAAAGCCCCCTCTCCCCAAGAGATCTTAGAAATGTACAGCTCAGAAGCTTCTGCTGCCGTAGCTGAGAACTGAGATGTTTTGGATAGCTTCTGGAGGCTGTATGAAACATGCTGGTAGGAGGAGCATTGGCGATGGCTTGTCAGCAAACCTAACGCATTTGCTTATAACGTTCGTTCAGCTGGGGAGAGAAAGCTGGAATATTTGAATTCACTGTCTCGTTACCCTGTCGTCAGCTGGTCTACTTATTTACTCATCGTTATTTTCCTCGCCTGTTCTCCCTCCTATCCAGGTGGCGGCGGTGCCGTTGCCGCTCCTGCTGCTGCGGGCGGTGCTGCCGCACCAGCAGCTGAGGAGAAGAAGGAGGAGAAGAAGGAGGTGAGCTTTGTGATTCTGGTTATTCGCGTTTTAGTACCCTCGGAAAATTGTGTTTTATTGTGTTGGCCTCAAGATGTTGTTGGGCTGATGTTTCATATTCGCTTATTATGATCTCTCTCTGCCACACCCACCTTCCCTGAACGCCTTCTGAATGCAACAGGAGGAGAAGGAGGAGAGCGATGACGACATGGGCTTCAGCTTGTTCGACTGAGCACCAAATACCATGGCTCCTCAGATCCCAGCCTTCACCTCCATTTTGACAGCTGTGATGCTTTCTAGGGCCGCTCAGCCTCCCTGTGTCTTAGCAAGGTCTTTCACCATGTATCACATGCTATCAAATGATGGGTCTCGTTGCTGCTGGCGCTGGTCTGCCTCCTGTTGTGCATTGGTAGAATTATTTTAACTTTCACCGTTCGTCCAAGAAACAAGCGTACGGTGCAGAGCAAGAAAATTTGTCCCCGCAATTCAGATGCGAGATTAGTGTTCTGCAGACAAGCAGACAGGTTTTATTTTCAGTTTCCCTTGAGACCTGTCATCTCGATTCTGTCGTCCTCGGTGGATGAAACCAAGGTGGATGACAGAAATGAGTCGCACACGCATGTCACGCGCATGGAAACCTGAAACAGGTCGCCCGCAACTGCATCTATTCGCATCTCGTCGCAACGCAACTGCACATTCGCACACCGCATGCTCGTCACGCATCCGCGCATAGGGAAGCAAATGCTTCTGTTTGCTTAGGTCGTATCCCTCGCTAGTGTCAAGATACTGTTGGTGTCAAGCGAGAAATTCGCTTGACACCAGGTGGAGCCGCGCCCGCACGCGGCTCCAGCCTGGTGTCAATGTTGGGCACATTGGGCAATTTCCCGCGATCAGATTGGTCAGTTTAGCTGACACCAGGAGGACTAGTCCTCCATGCGTTTTCCGAGATAGTGTCATGACACTAACCACTCTTGACACTAGCCAGGGATACGACCTTATGTGTCGTTTCCCCCACCTATTTTTCCTTCTTCACCTCTTGCCTACTTCAGCTGCTGCCCGTTCGTCTTAGCTCCTCGCTGCTGCCATTTCAGCTTAGCGAGTAGCTCGCAACGGTACCGTCCTCCAGCCTAAGTCTAGGCAGGTGAAATGCGCTGAGCGAACAGGTCGGGGTTGGGTCATGCGGTGCAGCTGGTTCATGGTGCCGCAGAAACGATGTTCGTCGCGATGCTGTTGGTGCCTTGAGCCGTGGAAACAAGGCTTGTTTTCAATACTTTCATGATATGGCTCTAGACAAATTCTCCAATGCCGAGGCAGCATCCGCGAGCTCGAGCTTAGGTTAGAATGGACGACCACCCTGGCATTCCTAAGACCTAAGTAGACTCCTAGTCGACTTAAAGACAAGTCAGTTCCACCCGGGCTCTCCGAAGATTTGTCGACTTGTTTATTTGCCACCAGTGCCTGTGCTTTGGCGACGTGGTCGAGCTTTATCTGTAATGGTTATTCTGTGACACGGTTAGCAGCCGAATGCAGCGGAGGGGGTACCCTAGGTGAAGGTTACACGTTTACGCCTCGCGATTACAAACGCAACAGCTTGTGAACTAGGGTGCTGCGTGCATGAAGAGAGCGGTATCGGTCACCTGTTAGCATCGTGAGGCAGCTCGCACATTGGATTGTGCTGCTCCGTGCGACTGATTGCGACTGAGGCGACTGACTGCGACTAATTAAAAGCTTTTGGGATTCCTTCACGTCACAAACAATAGTCGAGCTAGCTGTCAGCGTTGACCAAAAACTTGGACCTTTAAGGACCTACGCTCTATCCCACTTCGCGTCGTATCCCGCTTCGCGTCGTATCCCGGTTCGCTCTTAATTAAGCACGATGTCTCGCCAACCGTCGCCAATGCGGGCTCCGCGCACAAGAATCTTGAACGAAAAATACGTGAGTGGCGCTATCTGCTCCTAGTTTATCCACTTTCGCTCGCAAAGTTTTAGTTCTTTTCTCTCTTGTTGAAGGGCTACATCTGCCTGGCACTGCAGGACAAGCATTCAATTCACATGTTATCGACCTCTTGATTGGTTTGCGTGTTCGCCACCATTTTCGCCGACTTATTTTGTTTTCACTTATCGTGATAAAAATTGCTGTCCTTTTCACATGCGGTGTTCGCGCACATTTCCGTGTGCGTGTGCATGTTCATGCGGGTGTGTGGGTGTGTACCTGCATGTGTGTGCGTGCGCGTGTGTGCCTGCATGTGTGTGTGCGTGCGTGCGTGTGCGAGCAGCTGCTGGGCGAGGAGCTGGGAAAGGGCGCGAACGGGCGCGTGTTCAAGGCGCTGGACCTGCAGAACGGCGACTTCGTGGCCGTCAAGGAGGTGTCCCTCGAGAACATCGACCAGGACGACCTCGCCTCCGTCATGGTGGGCTGCTGGTGGTGGGGTGGGCTGGGAGGGGTGCATGATGGTGCTCTGCGTTAATTGTGTCAAGTCAACCCTACCACATGCATTGTACACAAACGTCACTCTTGCTCTCCCTTCTTTTCACCACCAATACTGATTGTTTTTTTCTCTTTCTTTCTTTCCCCTGCCTTTCCCACGTGTGGCCCTGTGCTCCTTGCTCGCGGGACTGTGGTTTGTGGTGGCTGGTGTCCGCCACTGTCACATCACATGGAACGCAATCTCCGCAGCAAGAAATCGATCTCCTCAAGGTGGGCTGTTCCCGCTCTTCTGTGCTGTATCGTGCAGTACTGTGCTGTGCTGTACAGTACTATTCATGCTGTAACATGCTGCACATTCAGTCTTTACTGTTATGCTGTGCCATGCTGCTGTGCCTTGCCATGTGGTCTCATGAAGTCCGGCACATAGCTTGATGTTTGAGAGTTCAGATGTACTAACTGTTCTTCGTTCGCCCTTATCCTTCATCCCCTCCCCCAAACACACCCCCCCACAGACGTTCAACCACAAGAACATAGTCAAGTATCTGGGTTCCATCAAGACCAAGACGTTAATGCTGAGTATTCTCTAACATCAAATGCTCTGTTATCTCCCCCCTTCACCCTCTCCCCCCCTCCCTACAGACGTTCAACCACAAGAACATAGTCAAGTACCTGGGTTCCATCAAGACCAAGACGCACCTCTTCATCCTCCTCGAGTATGCCTGCCTGCCTGCCTGCCCGCCTGCCTGCCTGCCTGCCTGCCTGCCTGCCTGCCTGCCTGCCTGCCTGCCTGCCTGCCTGCCTGCCTGCCTGCCTGCCTGCCTGCCTGCCTGCCTGCCTGCCTGCCTGCCTGCCTGCCTGCCTGCCTGCATGCCTGCCTGCATACCTGCCTGCATGCCTGCCTGCATGCCTGCCTCCTGCTGTTGCTCTATGCTCGGCACATCACTCATCCCTCCAGCTTCTGTGCCGCCTCTTACTGTTTCCTGCTGCATGCTGTGCCCGTAGGTTGCGCGCTCTGTGTCATCTGCTCTCGTGCTCCCGCCACAGACTGCAACAAAATTCCCCTCTCCCCCCATCCTCTCATCGCATCCTCTCGCCCCATCCTCTCGCCCCATCCTCTCACCCCAACCTCTCGATCCATTGTATCCCCATGTCCACGCATAGGTTTGTGGAGAACGGGTCCTTGGCGGGCATCATCAAGCCGAATAGATTCGGGCCCTTTCCAGAGTGCCTTGTTGCTGTCTACACCGCTCAGGTGGGGAAGAGATCGACTCCTCTCTATCCATCTGTCATGACCGCACGTATGCATCCTGTCTGTCAACTCCCTCGTCAGCTTGCCTGTTTTCCATCCTTGTTCGCTCCTCCCTGTTCCCCCCTACTCCTCCCTTCTCCCTACTCCTCGTTGCTCCTACTCACTGCCCCTCCTATTCCTCTCGTCGTCCCCATGGGAGCCCCATGGGAGGCTGCTAGTGGCACTGCGGCTAATGACCCCACTCATCACTCCGTGCTCATCCTTATCCCCGTCTTCCTCCCCTCTCCCCCATCCCCATCCCCCTAACAGGTGCTGGAGGGGCTGATGTATCTGCACGAGCAGGGCATCATCCACTGCGACTCCACTCACCGTCCCTTCCTCTTCCCCATCCCAACCCCCCCCTAACAGGTGCTGGAGGGGCTGATGTACCTGCACGAGCAGGGCATCATTCACTGCGACATCAAGGGCGCCAACATTCTCACCACCAAGGAGGTCAGTCACTCCATTGGCAGTAAACCACTGCTGCTGCTCCATCTCTTCCTCCCCCACCCACCCCACCATCCTCCCTGCCCCCCCTCCTCGACCCACCTTTTGAGTAAACTCAAAAGTCATCCAGCCGACAGCACAGCTTGCAGTTTCTCTCCGCAGCCCCACCTTCTCAACCTTCCCCCTTCCCCACTCCCCCCGCCCCCTCCCCCTCTTCCCCGCTGCCTTCTCCCTCCCCCTCCCACCTGACCCTGCAGGGCCTGGTGAAGCTGGCGGACTTCGGGGTGGCAATGAGAGTGGAGGAGGCGGCGGCGTGCCACGGGGACGCGGAGAACCCCAACGTGGTGGGCACGCCGTACTGGATGGCGCCCGAGGTCATCGAGATGTCCGGCATCTCCCCCGCCTCTGACATCTGGAGCGTTGGCTGCACTGTCATCGAGCTCCTCACCACCAAGCCGCCCTACTTCGACCTCCAGCCCATGCCCGCACTATTCCGCATCGTTCAGGTGCAATTCTGCTGCTAACTCACGACCTCAACTCCCGCGCCTGCTCTGCTCTCTCCGCAGCATCGAGGGCGCGTCCCTGACTGACGCTCTTCCGCATCATTCAAATAAGGGTCTCTGTGAAAGAGGTTGCTGCAGTGAAGTGAAGCTGGCTGGATCTGGATGCACTCCGCTGACGTATGCCCATGAGAATTGTTTTGTTTATTGCAGGCTACTTACTTGAGTGAGGAGAATCTTGAGCTGGAACCCCTCTCACCCTCAGGGGCGTCGTCACATACTTTAACTTTCCTTGCTGTGTCATCACGCACGCCACTTGTCTTGCAGGACGACATGCCGCCCATACCAGAAAATGTGTCAGCTGCCACGTCAGACTTTCTCCACCTCTGCTTCCGTAAGGTGCGGTGATGTCGGGTGGGATGATGGGAATCTTTTGCAAGGGGCTTTTGCAAGGGGCTCGTTCTCCATGCCCTTCTCTCGCCACATCCCCTCCCTGCCACTCTTTTCTTTTGAGTCGATTCAAAAGTCATCTGTCCAATGCTGGGATGGTGGAATGGGATGATGGGATGCTTTTGCAAGGGGCTTTTGCAAGGGGCTCTTTCTCCATGCCCTTCTCTCACCGCATCCCCTCCCTGCCACTCTTTCCTCTGCCTGCTCCCACCACCACTACAGGACACCAAGAGCCGCCCGGACGCCAAGACTCTCCTGCGGCACCCGTGGATCCGGCAGGCGAAGCGGGCGGTGTCGTCTGGCCTTGCTGCCATTCCGCGCCCTGTCAGCGCCGGCTCCTCCTCCTCCTCCTCCACCCGCCCCCTGTACGTTCTCCTCCTGCTGCTGCTGCTTCTTCTTCTGCTGTTACTGCTGACATCTGTATACGCTAGCATTCTGTTGAACATCTGCCCTGCTGCTGTCGTCACTCCTCCTTCCTCTTGTCCACTCCCTTCCATCATTTCCCCCCCTCCAGCTATCCGGATGTGCCGGCTCAAGCGGGTGCAGGCAGGGGCAGCGATGAGGCAGCAGCCATAGACAACTCAATCAATGGCGACAGGCGTGATGACTTTTGAGTCGACTCAAAAGGCAGCAGCCATCGACGACTCGATTGATGGCCCCAGGCGGTTGAGAGCTCTCAATAACCAACTTCTATCTTCTCTCCCCCCCGGCGCAGGTACCCTGAGGCGCCATCACAAGCGGGAGCAGGCAGGGGCAGCTATGAGGCAGCAGCCATCGACGATTCCATTGATGCTGCCAGGCGTGTGCACGCCACCTCCCATGCCTCTTCCTCCTCCTCGCCTCTCACCCTCTCCCTTGCCTCCATCCCGTCTCCCCCCCCCCCCATCCAGCTATCCGGAGGCCCCGTCGCAAGCTGGTGCAGGGAGGGGCAGCGACGAGGCAGCAGCCATAGACGACTCGAGTGATGCCGCCAGGCGTGTGCACGCTCTCAGTAACCAACTTCCATCTCTTCTCCCCCCCGGCGCAGGTACCCTGAGGCGCCGTCACAAGCTGGTGCAGGCAGGGGCAGCGATGAGGCAGCAGCCATCGACGATTCCATTGATGCTGCCAGGCGTGTGCACGCCACCTCCCACGCCTCCTCCATTGAGACGTCCCAGCAGTTGTCCGTGTCTCACCCTATCCCTTGCTTCCATTGCATGCCATCTGTTCTCCCCCCCCGGCGCAGGTACCCAGAGGCCCCGTCGCAAGGTGGTGCAGGCAGGGGCAGCGACGAGGCAGCAGCCATCGACGATTCCATCGATGCTGCCAGACGTGTGCACGCCACCTCTCACGCCTCCTCCTCCTCCTCGCCACCTGTCACCCTCTCCGCCTCCTCTCCAGACAGCGAGCGGCGTGATAGGAAAATCCACCTGCAAGCGGTGAGTCGCTTTTACTTGCTCTAAAGAAGAGAGTTTGAGACATCTCAAAAGACGTCTCACAGCTCCTCCTCGCCTGTCAGCCTCTCCACCTCCTCTCCTCTCCTTCAACTTTTGCTGATCCCAATCCGCGCACAACTCTTTGTGAGAAGGCTTTAAAGGCTTTAACCAATCTCTTGCTCCCCCACCCCACCTCACACCAACCCACCCCACCCATCCACACCACCAGGACGCGGTGAAGGACCTGAGGGAGGCAGCCAAGGCAGCACGCAAGTCACGAGCACAGCGCCACTCTATGGGCGGTAGCATTGACTCCGGTGCCCCCTCCGATAGGCCCGGGACTGCAGAGGATGCGGGTAGCGGTGCTGGTGGCGCTGGCGGTGGTGCTGGTGGGGGGAGTGGGGGCAGTGGGATCAGCAGCAGCGGCATCCCCCTCAGTGGCAGCGGGCGGCGTAAGATTATTCGGTCCAAGAGCGACAAGGAGCTGAATGCCAGAGACAGTGAGGGGCACGCGGAGGTGGGGGCAGGGGGAGCGGGCGGCAAGGACGGGGCGAGGAGGCAGAGGTGGAAGAGCGGGCAGGGTATGGACGATGAGGGCAGCAGGGAGTTTATCAGCATGCAGGGGGAGGGGGGCGTGTGGGATGTTTCAGACGAGGAAGACGGGCTGGGGAGAGTGAAGGGGGGGAGACGGGGAGCAGGGCGGGAGGGAGAGGAGGAGGAGGAGAGCAGTGGAGAGATTGGTCCGGGAGAGGCTCGGCAGCAGCCGAAGCTGGGGCAGTCGAGCAGCACTGGTGGAGCAGGTGTGGGTGCAGGGGGAGGGAGTGGGGCGAGCAGTGGGCGGTCGATGAGTGCGAGTCTGCCGTCGCCCCCTCGGTCCCACCGGGGGTCGCGCTCCCAGCAGCAGTCTCCGGAGGGAGTGCATGGGAGGTTGAGTTTTGAGGCGCCTCAGAAGGTCTCGCGCTCGCAGCAGCAGTCACCGGAAGGAGCACACGGGAGGGCGAGTGGGGGGAGGTCTGGTGCGGAGAACTTTCTGGTTGGGTCTTCAGGGGAGGAGGGCGGGGCGGATCAAGAGGATGAGAGAAATGGCACGCCTGCTGGGAGGAAGGCGAGGCGGAGGTCGCAAGACGGGGACGGGACGGATCGAATGGGGGGAACCGGGGCGGAGGGAGGAGGAGCGGGGAAGAAGGGGGCGGGGAAGAAGAAGGAGCAGCGGCGCAGCGGCCCTCTGTCAGCCCCTTCGGGCAAGTCAGCAAAGGGCGCTGGGAAGAAGCGAGGCTCACAGCAGCAGCAGCAGGCACAGCAGGACGACGAGAACAACAGCAACAACGACAACAGCGGCAGCATTGGCAACATGGATCCAAGCAGCAGCAGCAGCCGTCTCGCGCCGCGCACGCCCCCACAGCCCATCCCACGCCCCCTCTCCACATTCATCGAGACAGAGGAGGAGCGATCGCTCTCCTCCCTCGCAGCCATGTTCACGCCACTGGCGGGTTCCCCCCAGGTGGCGGGCGGGAGCAGGAGCCTGGCGGGAGTGCTGCGGGAGAAGCTTGTGAGAGGGATGCATCGGGTGGCTGTGAAGGCGGAGCGCGAGAAGAGCGACCCGTTCGCGGGGGTTGAGGGGCTGGATGCGGTTGGGAGCGGTGCGGAGAGGGGAGAGGAGGAGGGTGGGGCTGTGGGTGTTGTTGGTGGAGTTGGGGTGGTTGGGGAGTTTGATTCTGCGGTCTATGGAGTGGCAGTGGGTGGAGGGGCATCAGGTGGAGGGGCGGAGCGCAAATCGAGCCTGCGGCCAGAGTTGCTCAACCAGAAGGTATGCTGCCTGCTGTGATGTGATGCCATCTCCCCTCATATTTCGCCAGGCATCAGATCAGAGGCAGCGAGGCTGTTGAGTTGAACCAGCGTGAAGTGAAGCCACTCCTGCTGGAAGGGCGTTGCTTAAGAGTTCTCCGTTCTCCCTCCTTTCCCCTTCTCTGTCCCCTTTTCTTCCCCCTGTTGCCAGGTATCAGAGGCAGCGGGGCTGCTGAGCCAGCTGAAGCCGTCGCAGGGCGAGGAGGCGATAGAAGCGGCGAGCAGCAGGCTGGCGGGGCTGGTGGGGGAGTACCCCGAGGTCAAAGGGGAGCTTGTGGCGACCCATGCCGTGCTGCCGCTGCTCGATGTCTTCGATGCTGACAGCCCCCGGGTGAGTGGAGTGGAGTGGGTGGGTGGGTGGGTGGGTGGGTGGGTGGGTGGGTGGGTGGGTGGGTGGGGGGGGCATGTGAGGCAGCAGGCTGGCGTGGCTGGTGGGGGAGCTCGTGGCCTCCCATGCCGTGCTGCCGCTGCTCGATGTGTTCGATGCTGACAGCCCCCGGGTGAGTGGTTGACGTTTAAGACGTCTCAAAAGGCAGCAGGCTGGCAGGGCTGCTGGGGGAGTACCCCGAGGTGAAGGGGGAGCTCGTGGCCTCCCATGCCGTGCTGCCGCTGCTCGATGTGTTTGACGCTGACAGCCCCCGGGTGGGTGGGTGGGTGCGTGTGGGCATGAGAGGGAGCAGTGTGGGTGGGGGCATGTGAGTGAGCGGTTAGGGGTTTCCCTTTTTTTCACTTCTGGGAACTAAGTTCTGGGACCGTTTTTTCTGGTCGATAGCAGTGCTGGGACTGCTGCAGCAGCTTTAGAGTCGACTCACAAGGCATGCTCACATCAACATGCTCACCTGCCCTACCCCTCCCTCCCACCCTCACTGCAGGTGGTGTTGTCAGTGCTGGGACTGCTGCAGCAGCTCGTCACAGACAGCCCTGCCATCCAGAGCCTGCTCTGCAACGCCGGCCTCGTGAGTAACCTGTCCCGTGCCGGGCTGCTACATACTTCTTACTAATGTGGTGTGAGCTCCTTTATTTCTGAAGAAGACGTATATCATAAGATCTTCGAAAAAAAAAAAAAAAAAATCCAATCTAAGCATGTGCCGGGTTGTATGTACACATGTAGTGGTGTGAGTCCCTTCCTTCACTTCCTCCCACTTCCCTTTCCTGACTTCCCCTCTCCCCTCCTTCGCTCTCCCCTCTCCTCCCATTTCCTCCCCTCCCATCGCTTCACTTCCCCTCCCCTTCCATCTCCCCCACCACAGGTGCCCACGCTGCTGAACTTCTCCTCGCCGGGTCGCTGCTCGCCAGACATGCGCCACCAGGCAGGCAGTGTGCTGCGCCACCTCTGCCACTCCAGGTGCGTTTGTGTGAACGATTGTTTTTGCACCTCAAATACAGTGCTGCGCCACCTCTGCCACTCCAGGTGCGTGTCAGTCACCTGTTCCCTTTCTCCCGTTCCTCTTTCTGCTGGCTCGCTAGCAAAGATTATATCCCGTTCCTATTTCCGCCCTCTCCTTCTTTTCTCCACCACCACACCCTTGCCCATCCGTCCCTCCCCACTTGTGTCTGCTTCACTGCTACCCCACAATCCTGCACTCCCTTCCTCCTTATCCGCCCTCTTCCCCCATTCCTCATCTCTCCACTCCCTCCCCCTCTCCCATATGTGCCCTCCTCTGCACCGTCGCTCTCCCCTCCACCGTACATTCCCTCTTTACCAGTCCGGACGCAGTGAGAGCGTTGCTTGCGTGTCGAGGCCTGCCCACGCTCATGGCGTTTCTTGAGACCGACTACTGCAACAACCGGTGGGTTCTGATTGGGTTCTGTGCTCCCTGTAGTCTGCTCTGCGCCTGGGTTTTTGGACACGGTTTCTTGGGTCAATGTTACACCAGTGGGCTGGACTGTTGTTTTTATTGGTGATTCATGCTATGAGTATAGCTTTTGGGGTGCAGCTGCTTCTTCTTGTGATAAAGGGTTCATGCTCTGTCGTTTTCTCACTGTCACCAGTACCACCACTTCCTCTGCTGATGCTGATGCTCCCAACCAAGCCAGCTGGTGACTTGCACTCAGCTGGACAGTGCTAGGTTTCTTCCCCTGCCCCATCCTCCCCTTCTCAGTGCGTACGTGCACATCGGGCTGGACTGCCTGCCTGCTAGCAGTGCTGGCAGCAGGCCTCTTAAGGCAACTCAAACCCTCTCTCTGCCGCTCCCTCCCCACCCTCCCTCCCAGGGCGTTCGTGCACATCGGGCTGGACTGCCTGCTGGCAGTGCTGGCGGCGACTCTCTTGAGGCGACTCAACAGGCCTCCTCCCCGTTTCCCCCCCTTGCCGTGCACTCCCCTCCCTCCCCTCCCAGGGCGTTCGTGCACATCGGGCTGGACTGCCTGCTGGCAGTGCTGGCGGCGGGGCGCCCCACCCCGCGCACGGACATTGCGAGGCAGCTGGCGCGCATGGGCCTGCTGCACCGCCTGCTCTCCCTCCTGCACTCCGTCTCCTCCGCCCGCAACCACCCCGCTTCAGCCTCTTCTGCTGGTGCTGGTGCTGGTGCTGGTGAGAGTGGGGATGAGGGAGCTGGTAGGAGCAGCTGGGATGGCGGTGCGGCTGGCTCTGGTGGTGGCTCCGTGTATGGGTCAGCGGACGCCTATGGCTCTGGCAACACAGGGGGAGCAGGCGCAGGAGCGGGAGGAGGAGGGGCAGCATCAGCAGCTGCTTCTCCTGCAACCTCCTCCTCCTCAACATCGTCTGCTGCTGCTCCTGCCGCTGCCACTCCTGCGCGGCGCTCCCAGCGCCGCATCTTTGGCCTGGCGCAGTTCCGAAGCAAGGCAGCCAAGGCTGGACAGGGCGGGGGAGACTCACAGGCACAAGGAGGGGCAACATCCTCAGCAGCAGCAGCCGGAACAGGAGGAGGAGGGGGAGGAGTGGCAGGTGGTGCTGGTGGCTCTTCCAGTGGCGGAAATGGAGTGGGTGCAAGAGCAGGGGGGTATGGGACCAGTTCCGGTGACAGTGCTAGTGGTGCTGGTGGTGCTGGTGGTGGTGCTGGTGCTGGGTGGGGCAGTGGGTCCTCCTCTTCCACAGAAGCCAGCACGTTCACCTCATCCTCCTCCTCATCAGCAGCAGCGGTGAAGCAGCAGCAGCTAGACCCGGCAGCGCTAGCCGCACAAGACACGCTCTACCTCACGCGCACAGCCCTCCTCTTACTCCACCTCTGCCAAGCAGACGAGGCAGTGCGAGCGCACATGCTCGCGCCCTCCTTTCTAAAACGCCTGCTCGACGCAAGGGAGTCTCTCCCCCCGCCCGTGCTGCTGCTGCTGCTGAGGGTGCTCCGCCAGCTGTCGGCCGACGCCGCCTCGCATGATTCATTACAGAGGGCCGATGCTGTCCGTGCCCTCGTGCCGTACATTGATGCGGGGTTCAGGGAGCGGTTTGAGGTGGGGGAGAGAGGGGATAGCCGAACAGGGGGTGCGGCGAGTGCGGCGGTGTATCCGGCCTCACTATTCTGTGACATTCAGGCAGAGGTGAGTGGTGTAAGGTTTGGGTTTTGGTGATTGGTGTGCCATGCTACTGCTGCTCTTGAGGGTGCTGCGGCAGCTGTCGGCTGACGCTGCCTCGCATGACTCGCTGCAGCGGGCCGATGCTGTGCACGCGCTCGTGCCGTATGTTGATGCGGGGTTCAGGGAGCGGTTCGAGGGGGAGAAGGGGGAGAGCCGGGCAGGAGGAGCGGTGGGGTATCCGGCTTCGTTGTTCTGCGACATTCAGGCTGAGGTGAGTGCTGTGGGACACAGTGTGGGATGCAGGCTGAGGTGAATAGTGCGGGTGAGATGCAGGCAGATGTGACGCCGCTCATGGCGCTCGTCTCCTCCCACTCCCCGCTCCTGCCCTTCGCACGCTGCTGCTGTGGCAGTAAATTGATTACGCAACCTCCCACCCTCCCCTCTGCCCCCTCCCCCTCCCTCCCCCTCCGTCCCCTGAACACCCCCCTCCCCCTCTCCCGTTCTTCCTCTTCGGAACACTGTCTCCGCTCCAGGCGCTGATGGCCCTGTACAACCTGTGCAGGGGCAGCAAGCGCAGGCAGGAGCTGGCAGCAGAAGCTTCCATTGTGCCACCGCTCATGGTGCTCATCTCCTCGCGCTCGCCTCTTCTCCCCTTCGCGCTGCCGCTGCTCTGCCTGCTCGCCACGGCCTCGCGAGCCACCTGCGACACGCTGCTGCACCACAACGCGCTGCCGCTGCTGCTCTCGCTCCTCGCTGAACCACTCACGCCCCACGCCGCCATCGCTGCCCGCCTCGCGGACAGCAGGAAGGACGGCGCCGGGGGAAAAGGGGCAGGCGGAGGGGGGGGTGTTGCTGGAGGTGCAGCGGGAGCAGGGGCGCCAGGGGGGGCAGGGGGGACAGGGGGGGTGGGGAGTGGGGAAGGGGCGGAGAGGATGTGGGGGGCGGCGGCGTTTGAGGCGGTGGTGGCGTGTGTGGTGAACGATGGGGAGGGGCGGCACGTTGAGCAGACGCTGCTGCGCCGCGACTCGCTTGAAGCACTCGTGTGGTTCGTGCGCGGGGCCGCCAAGACTCCTTCCTTCACCGCGCTCTTTGAGCCTCTGCTGCGCCTCGTCACGTGAGCCCTGCGTTCTCATCTCCTCTCTCATGCTCTTTCTGACACTGACTGTGCGAATCTCTCTCTAGTGGTCTGTGAGGCTCCCTCGAGGCACTAGTGTGGTTCGTGCGAGGGGCTGCGAAGACTGCTTCATTCACTGTGCTCTTTGAACCGCTGCTGCGCCTCATCGCGTGAGTGGGCCATGCTCCCTGCCGTGCTTGCTCCTCGAATTACGTCCTCCCTTTCCCCCTTCAACCTTGCACCCACCCTATTTTGAAATCTCTCACTCACCCCTCCTCCTTTTTTCTCGGCCTCCATTCACCCGCCACACCTGCAAGTCGCCCAGTGGGAGGGCTGTCAGCGCTGTCAGTGGGAGGGCTGGGCGACCTGCTTGTTGCTTGCTCGCCCCATCGTAGCGCTGACAACCCTTTTCCCTTTTCCCCTGCTTCCAAACCCCCACCCCGACCTTGATCACCACCTCCCATAACAGCAAGTCGCCCACGCTGAATGCAGCGCTGTCAGTGGGAGGGCTGGGCGACCTGCTTGTTGCTTGCTCGCCCCTTCGTAGCGCTGACAACCCTTTTCCCTTTTCCCCTGCTTCCAAACCCCCACCCTGACCCCGATCACCACCTCCCATAACAGCAAGTCGCCCACGCTGAATGCAGCGCTGTCAGTGGGCGGCCTGGGCGACCTGCTCGTGGCTCGAATGTTGGCTGTGTTGACATCCCCTTTTCCTCCCCCGTGGCACCCACCCGTCCCATCCCCCCACTCACCCGCCTCAACAGCAAGTCGCCCACGCTGAATGCAGCACTGTCAGTGGGAGGCCTGGGCGACCTGCTAGTGGCTCGCCTGGACGACCCTCAGCTGGAGCCCGCCGTGCGCCTCAACCTGCTCAAGCTGCTCAAGGTGAGTTGCTGGCGTGTGGGGTCAGACTTAACACGGGTATGGAGGAGAATAGGTCGGTGCCCTGTGCCTTCATGGCCTATGGATGGATGATAAGGACTGGACGACCCTCAGCTGCAGCCAGCTTTGCTGCTGAACCTGCTCAAGCTGCTCAAGATGGGCTGACGTGGAGGTCAAGAGAGTGTGTGTATGGGCGTGGAGTATATATGTTGATGCCTTGTGCAGCACAAGAAGCAGCAAGAGTAGCAAAAGCAGCAAAAGCAGCAAAAGTAGCTTTAGGAGTATTCAGCTGGAGCCTGCAGTGCGGCTCAGGGTGCTCAGGCCTCTCAAGGTGAGCCCGCGATACATGGTGGATTGAGTCGTGCTGCTGAGCAGCACCTCACCGCACCTCACGCCAAGGTGCTGCTGTGTGTGTGCAGTCAAAAAAGTCTTGCACTGTCACCATTCTATTCCCTCGATTCCCCCTTTTTCTACCCTGCCCATTCAAACGCCAGAGCCAGCACCTGTACCCCAAGGGGCTGTGTGTTCACCATCATACCACCACTCACCATCAACTCCCGTGATTTTCCTCTCTCCACTTCTTCTAACCCCAGGCGGTGTACGAGCAGCACCCGTACCCCAAGGGGCTGTGTGTTCCAGACGAGCTGCCGGGGAAGCTGCAGCGGCTGACGGAGGAGCGGCGCATTGCGGGCGGGCAGCAGGTGCTCGTCAGACAAATGGCGTCGGCGCTGCTCAAAGGGCTGCACTTCGGCCCGCCCAGATAGATTCAACCGACGAACCACAAGCAGACGGCGGCCACAAGCAGACGGCGGCTGACGGAGGAGCGGTGTGGCAGCAGGTGCTGGTGAGATAGATGGCGTCCGTGCTGCTCAAAGGGCTGCTCTTCGGCCCGCCCAGATAATCGGCTGGGGGTGAGGGGAAGCTGTGGTGGAAATGAGTGGAGAAATCACTTCACTGCAATCGACAGATGGTTTACTTCAGAGTGCAGCGGTGCAGCGATGTGTGTGTGTGTGTGTGTGTGTGTGTGTGTGTGTGTGTGTGTGCGTGCGTGCGTGCGTGCGTGCGTGCGTGCGTGCGTGCGTGCGTGCGTGCGTGCGTGCGTGCGTGCGTGCGTGCGTGCGTGCGTGCGTGCGTGCGTGCGTGCGTGCGTGCGTGCGTGCGTGCGTGCGTGCGTGCGTGCGTGCGTGCGTGCGTGCGTGCGTGCGTGCGTGCGTGCGTGCGTGCGTGCGTGCGTGCGTGCGTGCGTGCGTGCGTGCGTGCGTGCGTGCGTGTGCGTGCGTGCGTGCGTGCGTGCGCGGCGAGTGTGACTGCAAGATGGTCCCATCCCAGCAGTCGTCTCGTCGCCTTCGTGGTTGGAAGGGCAGCAGCAGCAGCACCCCACTCTGCAAAGCAGCGGTAGCAACACGCCATGGTCATCTGTAAAACGAAGCTGGGGTCATTCTTGGTGTACGGTATTTATTGCGCTCTGCAGTTCGCGGGCAGCTGCAATGGTGGAACAGGCATCGCTGGGAGTTAATGTTGTCAGCAACTGCAAAAGAAATCGTTCAGGACAGAAGCCAACAGAGTATGAGTCGATTGATTGCAAGGTGGAGTGCTAACAGCATCCTCCACATCATAATAATACACCATTCTCAACCGAATATAAGCATAAAAAGCAATGCTTTTGAATTGATCACTAATGTCATGCATCTGTTGCAGGTTCTGGATAAATGCTGCTCTACATCGGAAGCTTCATTGAAACTGACTCAACGCTAGTGCAGTACATGTGCGCTATCCAAACAGCAACAGCATAAACATCAAGATGGAACCAAGTTGATTTGAGCACCCTTGCCCTTCACATACCCCTGTCTGCTGCCCGTGCACCGCCTCTCTCCCACAGAATCTACATGCACTCATCACCCTGTTCCTGTGCAGAACCCCACTCACCACCTCCCCTCGCCCTCCTGCCTCCCATTGCTTCCGCTCCGCACTCTGCCCTCCCTCCTGCGCCACCCGACTCTTCTTCTCCTGCTCCTCTCCTCCCTTCATCACTTGTCCTCGGCCTCTCGCCTTCCTTCGCCTCTTTCTGCCCCCCTTCCTTCTCTCTCCGGTTTCTTTTCTAGCCGATCCACCTGCTGTAACAACTCCACCAGCGGCTGTAGCGGCAGCCGTAGCAGCAACTGAAGCAGCAGCAGCAGTAGCAGCAGCTGCATCAGTGGAAGCACCTTCACCTGCCACGTGGTTGCATGTGGCGCTTCTCAGGGTCGCCTCAGACGCTACAGTGGCGGCTGGGGCGGCAGCATCTGCGCCGTCTGCACCTGCAGAGGAAGCATCTACAGCAGGTCCTCTGGCATTCCCACAGGTAACCGCAACTGGGGAAGCTACCAGCCTGGTAGCTTTGCCACTGCTCCTTGAATTGGTACTTTGTGATGTCTGTGATGTCTTTGATTTCTTTGCACTCCGAGATGAATTTCCTGTGCGCGGGTACGATCCGATGGTGAGGGTGCACGTGGAAGGCAGGATCTGGGGGAGGCCGCATCTGATGCAGGGAATTTGCACGGAGCGGGAGAAGGGGGGATGGGGGGGAGGGGAGGGGGGGGGTGTGAGGAAGAAAGGTATGTCTTTTTCTCTCGCTTTTCACATGTCCCAGAAAAGGAAATCTAATGGAGGATCTACTGCAGGAGGTTTTGGCCATTGGGGATGGAGGGGAGGATAATTTTTGGTGGAGAAGAGAAGATATACAGCAGCACTCACCCCGCGCACAGCACACTCCCGTCAATCGCCATTGCCTTGGAAACAGACTGTCCGCTGCCACCACCTTCGCCGCTGCTGCCGCCGCCACCCCCTCCTCTTCCCCCTTCCGCTGGCGTCAGCAGCTGCACGCACCGCCCGAGGTGGGCGGCAACGGGCGGCGAACTGACGGCGAGCGACTCCGCGGCTCGCCGAAGAAACTCGCGGCGGAGGTCGAGCGGGGTGGCGGAAGCGCCGTGCGAGGAGGTGGCGGCGGAACGAGCGCGCGGCTGGCTCATTGCGGCTGCCGCTTGTAAACCCGCTGGCGAGATTTTCGGCGGTGCCGTGAGGTATGCAAAATAGATTGTTATGGTACTCAAACAAAGAGTGTGTACGCGAGAGAAATGCACTTCACGAAAGTGATTAACGAGGTCCGCTTCGTTGAGGGCTTTGGGGGAAGTGTGGTTGCACCGATTGGTTTCCGAAACGAAAATATGTGGTTCGTCGTCATCCAATCGCTGGATTCGGGTTACCCCTCGCAAGCTTGTTGATAATCCAACCAAACAGAAACTCAGGGAGTGTCAGAAGAGTTCGCTCGGCTACGGTCATTCTCGGTGATTGACGTTCGAGAAAGGCCTGTTTAGTATTTTGGGCTGTTGAGTAAGGTTATGAGGGGAATGGAAATTCTACATCACGGCCTGAGCTTGGCGGCTTGCTTTCCGTGCCAGCGGACACCCCTTCGTCCATTCATGGCTGCTGCATGTATGCTGCGGTGCTGCACCATGCAGCCGCAATACCAGTTCCCAATGTCGGCCGAATCACTGCTGTCGCGTCTAGCATCGATTCCCCTATGTCGACTTCTGCGACGCGCGTCGTCGGCCCGGCATGTGCGACCGCTGACCCGCTGCTGCCGCTGGCGACCCTGCAGCTGCAGTGGTCGCGGATACTACCTTACGAGACCACGAAATTCCTATGCGACGCGCACCAATGGGTCGCAGCGTGCAGCAGATCCGTCCCATATGGTTTTTTAGTCTCAAACCAATCCCCGAGTACCGACAGTCAGTCACGGCGGCGTGGCTGTCGCCTCTTCATAAGCTCAAACGTCCTGCTGTGCCCGTGTCCTCATCGCAAGCTCATGTCGCTCGCTCTCACGGAATAGATTCATCCGGCTCGAGCGACAGCCTTCAATCCTTCATTCCCAAGCTGCAAATCTTCACACGACGGTGTGCGAAATTCTTTACGGCCGCAAATCTCTCTAGCGAGTTTGTAGGCGGCAGCAGCTGTTTCTGTTGCTGTTGCTGTTGCTGCTCGAGCGATGGACGTCGACCCTTCCCCTCAGGCGGAAAAGACGACCAAGGTGAACGCTGACGTGGAGAAGAGCGTCCACGTGGAGTGCGGGCTGTGCGCCGTGCTCACTCCCCTCGCGCGCTGCCTGGACCTCCCCCACTGCACGTGCCTGCTCTGCCTCCCCTGCGCGCGCGGATCCTTCCGCCCGCAGCTGGAGCATCTCAAAGCGCAGCTGATGAAGGGAACTCGTCATCAACTTTTCTCTGCTCATTCTCCTAGGAATTCACCTGGGAATTCTCCTGGGAATAATCCTGGGATTTCTCATGGGGAAGATTTCATGGCCTGCCCGTGCTGCATTCAGCCAGTACCAGCTCTCCACATGCAGACCCTCCTGCCCGAAGAATTCTGGCAGTGGGAGGAAACGGCAACTTCGGTTGCCCTTGCCCGTTTTTCTGGGGGAGATGAATTTGTTATCTGCCCGGGATGCCATGTCCTTGTGGAAAAACTGCCCGCAAAGGCAGCAGATCCAGAGGCTGCAGAGGCAGCAGCTGTAGCCGCAGCTGCAGACGCAGCGGCAGCTGTAGCAGAGGCAGCGGCAGCAGAGGCAGCAGCAGAATCAGCAGCAGAAGATGCAGCAGATGCAGCAGCAGCATCGGCAGCAGAAGCAGCGGAAGCAGCAGCAGATGCTGCAGACGCTGCAGAAGCAGCAGCAGCTGCGGATACAGCAGAGGTAGCAGAGGCAGCAGCAGCAGCGAAGGCAGCAGCAGAAGCAGCACAGGCAGCAGCAGCAGTACAAGCCGCAGAGGCAGCCGAAGCAGCAGCAGCAGCGGAGACAGCAAAAGCAACAGCAGCAAAAGCAGTGGAAAAAGCAGCAGCATCAGAAGCTGCAGCAAAGGCAGCAGCCGCAGCAGCAGCTGCGGCGAGAGCCGAAGAAAGAGACGAGGAAGGCCGCCCGCTAACCCCAGAAATGGTACTCCATAAACTGTACAACAGATACCGGTGCGGGGAATGCGGTGTAGTCTTTTGTGGGTCGTGCCGTGAGCACCCATATCACCTCGGGATCTCCTGTGCAGCGCATGCTGTGCGGCTTGCTGCCCCCAAGTGCCGCTTCTGTGGTGAGCGGGTCGAGTGGGGCGGGATGGACCTGGATTGGGATGAGGAGGCTGAGGAGAGGGGTGATGGTGTTGGTGCAGGGAGGAAGAAGGGTGGAGAGGAAGCGGCTAAGCGGCTTGCAGAGCTGGTTGCGTTCTCTGGCAGCACGACTGCAAGCAGCACCAGCGGCGGTGGCGGCACCAGCAGCAGCAGTAGCAGCAGTGGTGGCAGTGGCAGCAGCAGCAGTGGTGGCAGTGGCAGCAGCAGCAGCAGTGGTGATGGTGAAAAGAGCAACTGGAATTGGAGTGAGGGAGAGATGCGGGACCTTTTTACAGCAGTAGGAGCTGACGTGAGCTGGTGCATGAACAAAACCGACCTGGCAGCAGTGGCAGTAGCGGCAGTGTGTGTGTGCGGGGAGGAGCAGTGCAGGGAGCGACTGAAGGACGCGTGCACGCGGGTTGGTTCGTGTGGGCACGCATGTGGGGGGGTGAGAGGGGAGGTGGACTGCCTGCCGTGCCTACCATGTCTGCGTGATGCCTGTGTGGAGGAGAGAGATGCAGCAGCTGCTTCTGCTGGTGCCGCTCCCTCTGCTGCTGCTGCAACTGCCGCCACTGGTTCTGGCGCTGCTGCTTCTGGTGGTGCTGCTGCCGCCCCTCGCCCCCTGCCGCCCCTCCCCTGCGCCAGCGAATTTTGCCCCATCTGCTGGGTGGAGCCGATCGGGGCCGCCCCAGCCATCCGGCTGTTGTCCTGTGGCCACGTGGTGCATGCAGCATGCGCGATGGAGAAGATCCGCCAATCGTATCCCGGTCCCGAGATCTCCTTTGGATTCCTATCCTGCCCCCTCTGCCCCGGTACAACTATGGAGCACCCTGCACTACAGACAGAGATTGCCGCCCCGCTGGCTCTGAAGCAGCAAGTGGAGGGATTGGCAGAGGAGAGGGTGAAGGCTGGGGAGGGGCTTGGGGATGGGGAGGAGGAGGATGGGGATGTGGGGGAGGAGAATGGAAATGATGGTCTTGGGAATGGGGTGTTGGCATGGGCGATGCGTCGGTTGCTGTTCTTCCTCTGCTCTCGCTGCCACCGCCCGTACTTTGGTGGGGACCGCAGGTGCGGTGCCGGACCTGCGGTTGCCGAGGCTGGGAATGAGGATGTGGAGGAGGAGGAGGAGGGAGAGTTGATGGAAGAAGGTGAGAGAGAGGGAGGGGATGAAGAACGAGCAGGGGAAGTGGGTGGACAGGGTCAGCGAGACCATGAGCTCGTGTGTGGTGAATGCTTGGCAGTTGAAGAAGCTGCAAAGCAAAAGGCAGCAGCAGAAGCAGCAGCAGCAGCAGCAGCAGCGGCGGAGGAGAGAGAAAGGAGGGAGCAGCTGTGGGAGGCAGGCAGGCCGTGCAGCAGCAACCACGGGCAAGAAGCCGTGCAGTACAAGTGCCAGTTCTGCTGCTCCGTCGCCACTTACTTCTGTGGCGGCACCACACACTACTGTGCAGAGTGCCACCAGACCCTCCCGAATTACAGAAGCTCCTCGTACGTTGCACCGCGCTGCACCGGGGGGGACCAGTGCCCGTTGCGTGTGGCGTGGCACCCGCAAGCCCCTGAGGAGTTCTGCCTCGGGTGTGGCTTGTGCAGGCCGTAGCGCCACCGGGATTATCAGTCACCCTGTGTCTGGATTGACATGCACATCAGACAGACACACTATGGGAAAGGGGTGAGTTTTGAGACGTCTCAGAACTCGTAGGGCCACCGAGATTATCAGTCACCCTGTGTGTGGATTACCGTGCACATTAGAGGGACACACTGAGGGAAAGGGGCGGCAAGGCAAGTGTGAGGAAATAGTGACCCCAAGCCAACTGCTGCATGGGAGGGGTGTGGACGTGTAATGAGAGTGGGGATGGGGGCAGCATCTTTTATTGCTTGAACAGTTTTCTGTTTGTGTCTGCTCAGTGGTTTTTGTGTCACCCCTAGAAAGAGTCATTGCTAGATTGAGAAAGGTACGGTACCACGAACAGTAAGGAGCTGGTTGCGGGAAATACATAACGAGCGCTATGGGGACCACCAAAAGGGCAAACTGTGCCAGCCGGGAATCGAACCCGGGTCTGCACCGTGCTGACGTGGCAGGGTGCTATTCTACCACTAGACCACTGGCACTCAATCAGATGAGACCGACCTACAGCAGGTTAACACTTTCGGAAGACTCAGTGCAGGGAGAGGGACGTAGCATGCAGGTTGCCCTGTGGGCATGCGTGTGGCAGGGTGGGAGGTGTGGCTCTGTGGAGGATAGCAACGCAGCAGCTGCTTTTGCAACTGCTGCAACTGCTTCTGCTGCTGGTGCCTCTGGTGCTTCTGCTGCTGGTGCTGCTGCTGCCATTGCAGCTGCTGCTGAGGCACCTGGGAGCAGCAGCAGTGGTGTGCCCTCTGCCGCCCCTCGCCCACTCCCGCCCCTCCCGTCTGACAGCGACTTTTGTCCCATCTGCTGGGTGGAGCCGATCGCTGCCGCCCGTGCCATCCGCCTGTTGTCCTGCGGCCACGTGGTCCACGTGGCATGTGCAAGAAGGAAGATTCGCCAATCATATCCCGGTCCTGAGATCTCCTTTGCCTTACTCTCCTACCCCCTCCGCCCCACTGGCTCTGAAGCAACAAGTGGAGGGGTTGGCAGAGGAGAGGGTGAAGGCTAGGGAGGGGCTTGGGGATGGGGAGGAGGAAAATGGGGATGGGGAGGAGGCCAACGGGAATGATGGTATTGGGAACGGTTTGTTGGCAGTGGCGTTGCATCGGTTGCTGTTCTTCCTCTGCTCGTGCTGCCACCGCTCGTAATATCGTGGGGACCGCAGATGCGGTGCCGTACCTGCCGTGGCTGAGAATGAGGATGGGGAGGAGGGCGAGGGAGAGGAAATGGAGGAAGGTGAGAGAGAGGGAGGGGAGGAAGGACGAGCAGTGGAAGTTTGTGGGCTGCGTCGGCGAGTCATTGAGCTGTTATGTGGCGACTGCTTGGCAGTTGAAGCAGCAGCAGCAGCGGTGGCTGCGGCGGCAGCAGTGGCGGAGGAGTGAGAGAGGAGGGAGCAGCTGTGGGAAGCAGGCAAGCCGTGCAGCAGCAACCACGGGGCGGATGCCATACAGTACAAGTGCCGCTCCTGCTGCTCTGTCGCCACTTACAGTGCGGTGGCACATCTCATTCCTGTGCGTCTTGCCACGATCGCGGCAGTCCACCCACCCCCTCGTGCGCAGGGGGCACTGAGTGTCCCTTGCGTGTGGCTTGGCACCCCCAGCCCCGCAGGAGTTTTGCCTTGGCTGTGTGTTATGTAGGCCTTAAGGACAGCTGGGCTTTCGTGTGGATGCACGCATGGAGATTTTCCTGGCTCTGCTGATGGTGGTGCAGGGTTACTGTACTAGACCTGGTCACAATACAATATTGTGTGGAGTGTATGTAATTCATAGGGAAGCGATAAATGGTTTCGTGTGGTGGTGCCAAGGAGGTGGAAAACCCTTACTGTATGCATGCATGCAACATGAGCATGGAAATAGCAGGTGCAGGAAATCGTGCAGTTCCAGGTGTTGTTTAAGCTGCGCCCTCCCTGTTCATGTGCTTTGGCTGTACACACTGCGTCACATGGCTCTACACCGAGGGGAACTTGTGCTCGTTGCATGTGACGTGGCATGGCATCTACATGCTGTGTGTTTCACTTAGCCCCTGAGGAGTTCTTCCTTGGGTGTTACTTGTGCAGACCATAAGGCCACTGGCAAATGAGACGGAACGTAAGTGACTGGCAGGACAGCATAATTTTGCAAACAGTGCTTGCTCATTTTAGTCTGTAGGAGATTCTTTGTTATTTGGAAGTAGAAAGTGTACTTGATATTGGAGTGGTGCATGTTCTTCTCGCGTGCCGTCGAGAAGAGCATGCATGCAACGGAACGCTGCTGTGCTGAAACACGCAGAACGGAGACGAATCCGTCCGTGCACGGAGCGACTACCAAAAGGCCACGCGGCAAAACCTAACTTGTGCCAGCCGGGAATCGAACCCGGGTCTGCACCGTGCTGACGTGGCAGGGTGCTATTCTACCACTAGACCACTGGCACTCAACCGGATGATAGCTGTCAATCCAGCTCTTATATGACAAGTATTCACTTTTATTGGCGACGAATGCGCTGAGCTTGCCTTCGAGGCAATCATGCAGACACCAGCAACTACCGCCAAAGGTGGCAAGGGCGGGAAAGGAGGGAAAGGGGGAAAGGGAGGCAAGGGGGGGAAACGCAGCGGCCGGCACGGGGCATCGGCGAGCAAGCAGCCGTCGATTCAGGCGAAGCGGGAGCAGCAGCTGCAGCAGCAACAGTCAGATCAGCAGTTGGCGCAAACTCCGCAGAAAGCTCTCTACGCGCACGCCGCCCAGCCTCTAGACCCTGCGCGGATCACTTCCGCCGCATCTCCGCTCTCCGCTTCCGCAAACGCCGCCGTCAAAAGCGAACATGGGTCCGCGCCTGTTGTCGCTGGCGGAACCTTCGGGGGAGGCGCAGCAGCGTTGGGGGCAGCGCCGGGCGCGGAGCGGCCGGCTGCGGGGGGAGCGGCGGTGGCGGGGGAAGGAGTAGGATTGGCGGGTCCGCTTGAAGTGGGCGCGCGGGTGAGCGCGCGGTGGCGCGACGGGAAGATGCACCCCGCGAAGATCATCGAACGGCGGAAAGCGGCGGGGGGCGCGGACGAATACGAGTACTACGTGCACTATACCGAGTGTGAGTGATGTGAGCGAGCTTCGCTTGTGAGTGCGCACTATCAATCAAGTCTCTCAGGGGTGGCGGGGGGCGGGGACGAATACGAGGACTACGTGCACTATACCGAATGTGAGTATCTGTGATGTGCCGGTGTGGGGTGATGGATGTGATACGAGAGTAGACTCAAAAGCTACCACCGAAGAGCACCCCGTTCCCTGGAGTGCACCCCGTTCCCCGGAGAGCACCCCGTTCCCCGGAAAGCACCCCGTTCCCCGGAGAGCACCCCGTTCCCCGGACAGCACCCCGTTCCCTGGAGGTGATGGACTTGCCTTGCACTTGAAAGCGGCGTTCCCCTTCCTCCGTTCTCCCGCGCATGACCTTCCTCCAAACCCAGCTTAGTCACTTCTGGGATTCCCTTTGTGTACCTCCTACCCCTTCTCCCAATCCCCTCCCCCCCCCTCTCCCCTCTTCCCGTACTCTTTTCCCTTCCTCATTTCCACCCTTGCTTGCTCTGATCCCCCATTGTTTCCCCGCTCCTTCTCCCTTCTGTCCTTGGTGCTGATTGGCTGACGAGTGCGGAGCAGTCAACCGGCGATTGGACGAGTGGATCCCGGTGAGCAGCATTGACCAATCGTCTGTCAATACGGCGTGTGAAGAGAAGGCTGAGGAGAAGGTGAGTGGGGAGAAGGTACAAATTAAGTGCTACGCCTGGATTACTCTAAGACTGTTTTTGAGTCGACTAAGAAACAGATTCATCACACAAGGTACACTTCAAATGCTATGCCTGGATTACTCTAAGACTGTTTTTGAGTCGACTAAAAAACAGGCTCATCACCCATGGTGCACATTAAATGCTATAGCTGGATTACTCTAAGACTGTTTTTGAGTTGACTAAAAAACAGACTCGTCACACAAGGTACACATTAAATGCTATGCCTGGATTACTCCAAGGACGTGTCCCCTCTTTTGATTGATTGTGCAAAATTGAGGAAGATCGATCCTCCACCGCACTAAAAACCTGCGTTCTCCGTTTTTGAATGTTTGAACCTTTTTAAACCGAGCTCAGGATCGATCCTACGCAGGATCCATCGAGGGAGGGGACGCGTCTAAAGACCGTTTTTGAGTCGACTAAAAAACAGACTCATCACACAAGGTACACATTAAATGCTATGCCTGGATTACTCTAAGATTGTTTTTGAGTCGACTAAAAAACAGACTCAGGGCGTATTCTTGGCTTCGGGTCATCCCGAATTAATTTCCCCGAACCGCGGGACTTCCGACTCGAGCTTCGGGTTTTCCGATTCGAGACGTTGCGAGCTTTTGCGATAGGGTGCTCGAAACTGAGTTTGGCCCGAGTAAAATTTTTGTAAAGCTGATGTGCGACATTTCCGATTGCGCGACTAAATTCATTCAATTTGTACAGCAACATTGAACATTGAAGTTAAGAAAACTGTCGCGCCAATATCGCAGTCGCTCGCCAGCTAGATCTGGCGATTGCATCTTAAAGTGACGAGAGTAACGAATTAGGGTTTCCAATTAAATTTCTTCCAGAACAATTCGTTGTCAGATTTGGCGTGTTGACCCGAGCTGCTGTATTACAGCTCGTGTCTTCTCATAACTTCGGATGACTCAAAGAGCGGATGACCCGAAGCCAGGAATACGCCCTCATCACACAAGGTGCACATTAAATGCTATGTCTGGATTACTTTAAGACTGTTTTTGAGTCGACTAAAAAACAGACTCATCACACAAGGTACACATTAAATGCTATGCCTGGATTACTCTAAGACTGTTTTTGAGTCGACTAAAAAACAGACTCATCACACAAGGTGCACATTAAGTGCAAAGCCTGGTTTACTCTAAGACTGTTTCAGTGTACCAGCTTTGTTCCACCGTCATCATTTCAAAAAGTCATATGCATTGTTCCTGTCCCTTTCCTACACCTGTTCGTTGCTGCCTTCCCCTTTCCTTTCTCCTCTTCTTACCCTCACCTCCTGACCAATCCATCCCATCTCCCTCTCCTCTCCCCTCCTCCCCGTCGCTCAACTGCCGGCCTGCCCCTTTTCCTGCCACGTCAGCATGGCAGCGGAGTGAAGATGACACGTCATCAGAAGAGGAAGATAGACGAGCTACACATAGAAGAGGTCAGTGCTTGTATTTGACGTTGCATTGCATTGAAGAGGTCGTTGCATTGCATTGAAGAGGTCGTTGCATTGCATTGAAGAGGTCGTTGCATTGCATTGAAGAGGTCGTTGCATTGCATTGAAGAGGTCGTTGCATTGCATTGAAGAGGTCGTTGCATTGCATTGAAGAGGTCGTTGCATTGCATTGAAGAGGTCGTTGCATTGCATTGAAGAGGTCGTTGCATTGCATTGAAGAGGTCGTTGCATTGCATTGAAGAGGAAGATAGACGAGCTACACATAGAAGAGGTGAGTACTTTCCGTAATGTTGAAATCACCCTTGAGAATTCTCAAAAGTGGTAGACGAGCTGCACATCAAAGAGGTGAGTACTTGTCGTTGCTTCGCAGGTTTGTTTTGGACAAAATCTCAAATGTGCCCTGTACGTGACGTGACGCAGCAACCTGAGTAACGCACTTGCGTGCACAGCACAGCACACACAGGGTCATGAGGAGAGGAGTCTGGGGGAGCACGAGGAGTTCACCAAGGTGCAGAACGGCGGCCATTAATGCAACCCTTGCCCACCCTTCCCCACCTTTACACACGCACATGCAGGGCAAGGGTTGCGTTGCGTCCCCAATCAAGGCCCTTCTCCCCCCATCTTTACCACCCTAACACACACACACACACAGGGCCATGAGGATTTCGATGCTGCAAGCTTGCGAGAGCACGAGGAGTTCACAAAGGTGAAGAACGTGCCGGTGATAGAGCTGGGGCGGTACGAGATGGACGCAATAGGGGCCCACAAGGCAATGAGTTTCCCGCCGTGTTCCTCCTTACACAACCCCGCCGCAGGGCCATGAGGACTTTGACACGGCTAGCTGAAGGGAGCCCGAGGAGTTCACCAAGGGGAAGAATGTGTTGAGAACCCAACCCCCCTCCTCACATTATCCCACACACCCACGCACAGGGACATGAAGACTTCGACGCGGCGGGCCTAAGAGAGCACGAGGAGTTCACAAAGGTGAAGAATGTGGCGGTGATAGAGCTGGGGCGGTACGAGATGGACACTGGTAGGGGCCCACCGACCAAGGTCATGAGTTTCCCGCCCTGTTCCTCCTCACACAACCTCCCAGGGACATGAAGACTTTGACGCGGCTAGCCTAAGGGAGCACGAGGAGTTCACAAAGGTGAAGAACGTGGCGGTGATAGAGCTGGGGCGGTACGAGATGGACACCTGGTACTTCTCGCCCTTCCCCCCCGAGTACGCGCACTGCTCCAAGCTCTTCTTCTGCGAGTTCTGCCTCGCCTTCCTCAAACGCCCCTCACAACTCGAGAGGCACATGGTGAGTGGGTGGGTGCGGGTTGTGTTCCCTCTGGCGTGGTCTGCTCTGCTGTCTTCTGTGGTGCTCTGTGCTGCTCTGGGTCTGGGGTGCTGGTAGGGTGCTAGTGCTACTCTAGCCTAGGGTCCCCCGAGTACGCGCACTGCTCCAAGCTCTTCTTCTGCGAGTTCTGCCTCGCCTTCCTCAAACGCCCCTCGCAACTGGAACACCACATGGTGAGTGGTGGTGGGTGTGTGCTGTTTTCCCTCTGCTGTGTTCTGCTCTGCTGTGCTCTAGTGTGCTGGGAGGGTGCGAGAGGTAACCTGCCCTAGGCCCCCCCCGTGTGGTACTTCTCGCCCTTCCCCCCCGAGTACGCGCACTGCTCCAAGCTCTTCTTCTGCGAGTTCTGCCTCGCCTTCCTCAAACGCCCCTCGCAGCTCGAGAGACACATGGTGAGGGGCGTGAGTGAGTGAGTGGCTTGCTTTGCTCTGTTCGGCGCTATTTTTTTTTTTTTTTTTTTCCCAATAATAAATTATGTCTGATTTTTGTTTTCTATGTGATTTTCATTATATTTCTTGTGTTTCTGCAGCGCAAGTGTGACCTCAAGCACCCACCGGGGGATGAGATTTATCGCAACGGCTCGCTCTCCATGTTCGAGGTACAACTTAATACAAGTCACCATCAGTTGTTGCCGATGATTAGCTTGGCATGTGCCTTTTCACATTGTTTTCCACTTTTCAAATCCTCCCTGTTTCTGAACTGATTAGCAACCTTGCCCCAAATTCCTGCATTCCCAAGGTTCCGTGGTTCTCGTTGGCAGCATTTCCAAATTCCAGAATGTACAAATCTTGTAGAATTCCTGCTCTCCCAGACTTCTACAACGTCTCGAGTGGAAGTCTTAGGCCTAGGGCTCCCATCCATGCCCATTTCGCTTCTTTCCCGTGCCTCACCTCAGGTGGACGGCAAGCGCAACAAGGTGTACTGTCAGAACCTCTGCTACCTGGCGAAGCTGTTTCTGGATCACAAGACCCTCTACTACGATGTGGACCTCTTCCTCTTCTACATCCTCTGTGAATGTGATGAGAGGGGCTGCCATGTTGTCGGCTATTTCTCAAAGGTACAGCAGGCTGCATGCACTTGCTCAGAGACCTTGTTCCTTCCTGCCCACAAGCCACACCCTCTACTACGATGTGGACCTCTTCCTCTTCTACATCCTCTGCGAGTGCGACGAGCGCGGCTGCCACATTGTCGGCTACTTCTCCAAGGTACGCACTCGCCGTTGCATTCTCCATTACTGGCGCTCTTGTTGCTTTTTGGCGTATAAGTCAACACAAGACCCTTCTACTACGATGTGGACCTCTTCCTTTTCTACATCCTCTGCGAATGTGACGAGCGGGGCTGCCATATCGTCGGTTACTTCTCCAAGGTATGCTGCAACACAATGCATGTTTGAGGGGGGTCGACTGGCGGACGCCTCCACTCTCCGACCTCTCTCTTTCCCCACCGACTTCTTTTGCATACGGCCAATCTCGCTCTCCCCTCTTGTCTTCCTTCTGACCCCAATCTCTCTCCCTCTTCCCGCCTTGGCACACCAGGAGAAGCAGTCAGAGGAGGGGTACAACCTGGCCTGCATCCTCACCCTCCGCTCTTGGTTCCCCTCATCCCCCTCATCCCCCTCATCCCCCTCATCCCCCTCATCCCCCTCATCCCCCTCATCCCCTCATCCCCCTCTCTCTACCTGCCTGCCTCAATCTCAATCCTCTACAGGAGAAGCAGTCAGAGGAGGGCTACAACCTGGCATGCATCCTCACGCTGCCGCCCTACCAGCGCAAGGGATACGGCAAATTCCTCATCGCCTTCTGTAAGCCAGCCCAACCACCCGTGTCCGTGCAGTTTTGCCTTCAGATTTCTTTTCAAGTTTTGTTTTTCAAGGCACCTACGAGTTGTGGCACGCAGTTGTCAAGAGCTGGGTGGAGTCTTTGAGACGTCTCAAAAACCACAAGGTGACTTTTGAGTCGACTCAAAAGTCACCTCGTTACTATGGCACACGACGAATTCTCAAAAAACACAAGCTGTCAAGAACTGGGTGGAGTCTTTGAGACGTCTCAAAAACACCCTCTCTAGTCGTGCATTGCATTCCCCTCGTCCTTACCCCTTCCTATCCCAGTATATGAACTCCCAAAGGAAGGTTACTGACTCCACTTCCCTCCTCTCCCCCCACATCCGCTCTCTCCACTCTTCCCATACGAATATCTACGAAACAGACACCATTCCCCTCTACAGCCATTCCCCTCTACAGCCATTCCCCTCTACAGCCATTCCCCTCTACAGTCATTCCCCTCCACAACCATTCCCTTGCCCCGCCACTCTCTCCCCTCTTTCCCCCAGCATATGAACTTTCCAAGAAAGAGGGCAAAGTAGGCACACCAGATCGCCCCCTGTCTGATCTTGGCCTCCTAAGCTACCGCGGGTACTGTCAAAAGGGAGGGGAAGGTGGGAACACCAGAGCGACCTCTGTCTGATCTTGGCCTCCTAAGCTACCGCGGGTACTGTCAAAAGGGAGGGGAAGGTGGGAACACCAGAGCGACCTCTGTCTGATCTTGGCCTCCTAAGCTACCGCGGGTACTGTCAAAAGGGAGGGGAAGGTGGGAACACCAGAGCGACCTCTGTCTGATCTTGGCCTCCTAAGCTACCGCGGGTACTGTCAAAAGGGAGGGGAAGGTGGGAACACCAGAGCGACCTCTGTCTGATCTTGGCCTCCTAAGCTACCGCGGGTACTGGCTGCGCGTGCTGCTGCGCATCCTCAAGCACCACCGCGGCAGCCTGCCATTAAAAAAAGCTGAGCGACATGACAGGCAACAAGACAGGCTTACTTAGTCCCCTTCCCTCCCACATCCCCTCCCCCTATACCTGTGCCTTCCCTCCCCCTTCCCCACCACAAGCGTACGAGCTGTCAAAAAGGGAGGGGAAGGTGGGAACACCGGAGCGACCTCTGTCTGATCTCGGACTGCTGAGCTACAGGGGGTACTGGCTGCGTGTGCTGCTGCGCATCATCAAACACCACCGCGGCAACCTGTCGATCAAAGAGCTGAGCGACATGACAGGCAACAAGACAGGCTTACTTAGTCCCCTTCCCTCCCACATCCCCTCCCCCTATACCTGTGCCTTCCCTCCCCCTTCCCCACCCTTGCCTCCCCCCATCCCTGTCCCCACCACAAGCCTACGAGCTTTCGAAAAAAGAAGGTAAAGTCGGAACACCCGAGCGCCCTCTCTCCGACCTGGGTTTGCTGAGCTACCGCGGGTACTGGCTGCGCGTGCTGCTGCGGATTCTGAAGCACCACCGCGGCAACCTGTCGATCAAAGAGCTGAGCGACATGACGGGCATCAAGACGGAGGACGTGATCTCCTCGCTGCAGTCGCTGCACCTCATCCAGTACCGCCGCGGGCAGCATGTCATCTGTGCGGACCCCAAGGTGCTGGACCGACACCTGAAAGCGGTGGGAAAGCCGGGGCTGGAAGTTGACGTTTCGAAGCTGATTTGGACGCCGTACAGGGAGCAGGGGGGGTGAGTGGTACATGGGTGTGTGTGTGTGGGTGTGTGGTTGGGTGCGTGTGTGAGGGGGATGCAGGGGGGAGGGAAAGGATCTTTGGGAGTGTTTCTCAGTGGTTCATGTTGGATTGGAGTGTGTCCTGTGTAAATACTGTATTGTGTAGTATATTGATGAAAGACCTACAGGGTTAATGATAAGGCCCTTCCGGATTCTGTCTGTCTTGATACAAGGCCTGTGCATAGTGATTGTTCGGTTAATGGGCACTTGTTGATCAAGAGCCTGTACTGAAGTGCTACTAGTAGGAAATAACAGACTAAACTGGTACGGTAGTAACAAATGTTGGGCGGATTGCGGACTGCCCAAAAGCATGTCAAGGTAAGTACCGTAAGCAGACTAAGTCCCCAAAGGCACTAAACAAGCTTCTCTAAGCATACGATATTCTGCCACACGTTTACTGCGCCACAAGCCAATCAACTTGGGTGACAACGGAGAGGGGTCAGCTCAGCACAGGACGGACTCAGATGACCCAGCAGGAGCATGAGCAGTTTGCTTGCCCACAACACCATCCACATCCCTAAACACCTAAGGCAGCAAACACCAACTCCCCTGCCCTACTTTGGCTGAATGACCCTAAGACGGAGAGGCATCAGCAAAGCACGGACTCGGATGACCCAGCAGCAGCATGGGCTGTTTGCTTGCCCACCACACCATCCACATCCCGGCCGGGCGGCACAAAGAGCAGATCGCCCCATGGCGAATCCTCCTCGTTCTTCTGCACACGGGGGCATGGAGGAGAGATGAGTGAAGGACGGTGGAGAAGACAGAAGAGTATGGTTGTTGTGGTGGCTCGTATGCTTGTATGTGTAAGAGAGAGATTGACAGGAAAGTGGTGATAATAGGAGGGTGGTAACAAGATGGAGTCTTATATGTGTGTGTGTACGGTGTAAGTGCGAGACAGATAGACAGAGGCGGTGATGTATAAGGGTGCGTACCTCCATCTTCTTTAGCACGTCCTCAAAGCTCCCCACCTGATGGGGCATGGCATGGCATGCATGGATAGGACGGGATGTGGGAAGGCATGGCATGGGGAACGGGACCTGGAGCATGAGGAGGAGCATGTGACATAGGAAGGAATTGGGAACGAGAGGGGAACGGGGCATGGGACACGGTGGATGAGAGGATGCCAGGTAAGGGGAGGCATGCAACACATGCCTTCCTCGCAGCGCACACCTGCACGTTAATGCTGACAAGGCCTCTTCCCTGCGTTATTTTGTGTGTTTCGAGACGTCTCAAAACTTTAGATCAGAATGAAGCCACATTGTGAGCCCTCACTCACCTGCACGTTAATGTTGACAGGCCCCTTCCCCGTGCTCTTCTGAGGCTTCCCCCCATCCGCCTCTCATGACCACCACTGTTCTCCCAATATCACCACAACTCATCGCCACTCACTCACCTGCACGTTAATGTTGACAGGCCCCTTCCCCGTGCTCTTCTGCGGCTTGCCCCCCGTTGCCTTCCTTATTGCCGCCTCTAGATCCTCCTGCACGCACATGCCATACATACAAGGGTACACATGTGCATGGGCATACATACATGGGCATACATACATGGGCATACATACATGGGCATACATACATGGGCATACATACATGGGCATACATACATGGGCATACATACATGGGCATACATACATGGGCATACATACATGGGCATACATACATGGGCATACATACATGGGCATACATACATGGGCATACATACATGGGCATACATACATGGGCATACATACATGGGCATACATACATGGGCATACATACATGGGCATACATACATGGGCATACATACATGGGCATACATACATGGGCATACATACATGGGCATACATACATGGGCATACATACATGGGCATACATACATGGGCATACATACATGGGCATACATACATGGGCATACATACATGGGCATACATACATGGGCATACATACATGGGCATACATACATGGGCATACATACATGGCATACATACATGGGCATACATACATGGGCATACATACATGGGCATACATACATGGGCATACATACATGGGCATACATACATGGGCATACATACATGGGCATACATACATGGGCATACATACATGGGCACAACCATAGGAAGAAAACAGTGCTTGCTGGTCGGTAAGAACCTAACATGCCCTCAGTGCTGTTTCGAGACAGCCTCCGCAATAGGTGGAACAGAGTCAAACGTGTGGAAGGAAGTGGGCTGGTGAGTGATTGTCACGATGCCTTGGTGAAGAAGATTGAATAAAAAAGGCAATCATTGGACCAAATGATTACAACTCTCTGACCGGAGAGTGGAAGGGGCAACGTCTCAGAACTCGAGTGTGTATCATACCATATCATATCATATCATATCATATCATACCTTGGTGAAGAAGATTGGGCAGAAGCGGCGGTTCTTGGACCGAAGGATCAGGCTCTCTGACTGGTGTGCGGGAGAAACAGGGAAAGCGAAAAAAAAAGGAGAAAGAGACAATGCTTTTTAGGCGCCTGGTAAGAAGTCTCGCTGCATGTGGACTTGTGCGTGCTGTTATTAGTAAGGCATGAGGACTTGTGCGTGCTGTTATTAGTAAGGCATGAGGATCAGGCTCTCTGACTGGTGTGGACTTGTACCTCCGCAGCCCACCTGTTTACTAATAACAGCACCTGCATGTGGACTTGTGCGTGGGAGTGAGGCATGAAGAGATTATCTCATTGTCACATGCAGGTAGGTTCATTCAACCCCTTCCATACCTGGAAGACGGGTACCCCCTTTCCATACCTGGAAGACCGATCCCTCCCATACCTAGAGGACCGGTACCCCATTCCCATACCTGAAAGGCAGGTTCAACCCTCCCATACCTGGAAGGCAGATTCACCCCTCCCATACCTGGAAGACAGATTCACCCCTCCCATACCTGGAAGGCAGATTCACCCCTCCCATACCTGGAAGGCAGATTCACCCCTCCCATACCTGGAAGGCAGATTCACCCCTCCCATACCTGGAAGGCAGATTCACCCCTCCCATACCTGGAAGGAAGATTCACCCCTCCCATACCTGGAAGGCAGATTCACCCCTCCCATACCTGGAAGGCAGATTCACCCCTCCCATACCTGGAAGGCAGATTCACCCCTCCCATACCTGGAAGACAGATTCACCCCTCCCATACCTGGAAGGCAGATTCACCCCTCCCATACCTGGAAGACAGATTCACCCCTCCCATACCTGGAAGGCAGATTCACCCCTCCCATACCTGGAAGGCAGATTTACCCCTCCCATACCTGGAAGGCAGATTCACCCCTCCCATACCTGGAAGGCAAATTCACCCCTCCCATACCTGGAAGGCAGATTCACCCCTCCCATACCTGGAAGGCAGATTCACCCCTCCCATACCTGGAAGACAGATTCACCCCTCCCATACCTGGAAGGCAGATTCACCCCTCCCATACCTGGAAGACAGATTCACCCCTCCCATACCTGGAAGACAGATTCACCCCTCCCATACCTGGAAGGCAGATTCACCCCTCCCATACCTGGAAGGCAGATTCACCCCTCCCATACCTGGAAGGCAGATTCACCCCTCCCATACCTGGAAGACAGATTCACCCCTCCCATACCTGGAAGACAGATTCACCCCTCCCATACCTGGAAGACAGATTCACCCCTCCCATACCTGGAAGACAGATTCACCCCTCCCATACCTGGAAGACAGATTCACCCCTCCCATACCTGGAAGACAGATTCACCCCTCCCATACCTGGAAGGCAGATTCACCCCTCCCATACCTGGAAGGCAGATTCACCCCTCCCATACCTGGAAGGCAGATTCACCCCTCCCATACCTGGAAGACAGATTCACCCCTCCCATACCTGGAAGACAAATTCACCCCTCCCATACCTGGAAGACAGATTCACCCCTCCCATACCTGGAAGGCAGATTCACCCCTCCCATACCTGGAAGACAGATTCACCCCTCCCATACCTGGAAGGCAGATTCACCCCTCCCATACCTGGAAGGCAGATTCACCCCTCCCATACCTGGAAGGCAAATTCACCCCTCCCATACCTGGAAGGCAGATTCACCCCTCCCATACCTGGAAGGCAGATTCACCCCTCCCATACCTGGAAGACAGATTCACCCCTCCCATACCTGGAAGACAGATTCACCCCTCCCATACCTGGAAGGCAGATTCACCCCTCCCATACCTGGAAGGCAGATTCACCCCTCCCATACCTGGAAGGCAAATTCACCCCTCCCATACCTGAAAGGCAGATTCACCCCTCCCATACCTGGAAGACAGATTCACCCCTCCCATACCTGGAAGGCAAATTCACCCCTCCCATACCTGGAAGGCAGATTCACCCCTCCCATACCTGGAAGGCAGATTCACCCCTCCCATACCTGGAAGGCAGATTTACCCCTCCCATACCTGGAAGGCAGATTCACCCCTCCCATACCTGGAAGGCAGATTCACCCCTCCCATACCTGGAAGGCAGATTCACCCCTCCCATACCTGGAAGACAGATTCACCCCTCCCATACCTGGAAGGCAGATTCACCCCTCCCATACCTGGAAGGCAGATTCACCCCTCCCATACCTGGAAGGCAGATTCACCCCTCCCATACCTGGAAGGCAGATTCACCCCTCCCATACCTGGAAGGCAAATTCACCCCTCCCATACCTGGAAGACAGATTCCCATACCTGGAAGGCAGATTCACCCCTCCCATACCTGGAAGGCAGATTCACCCCTCCCATACCTGGAAGACAGATTCACCCCTCCCATACCTGGAAGGCAGATTCACCCCTCCCATACCTGGAAGGCAGATTCACCCCTCCCATACCTGGAAGGCAGATTCACCCCTCCCATACCTGGAAGACAGATTCACCCCTCCCATACCTGGAAGACAGATTCACCCCTCCCATACCTGGAAGGCAGATTCACCCCTCCCATACCTGGAAGGCAGATTCCCCCCTCCCATACCTGGAAGACAGATTCACCCCTCCCATACCTGGAAGGCAGATTCACCCCTCCCATACCTGGAAGGCAGATTCACCCCTCCCATACCTGGAAGACAGATTCACCCCTCCCATACCTGGAAGGCAGAT